TGACCGTAAATGGCACATTAGACCAAATGGACGTAAGCATTTACAGAGCCTTTCATCCCAGAACATCAGATTATACATTCCTATGCAGTGCATAAGAAACATTTTCAAGGATTGACCACATATTGGGTTACAAAACTAGCCTCAAATTCAAGAAGAATGAAGTCATATCAAGCATATTCTCTGACCACAATATTTTGAAATTATAAATCAACTGCAAAGAGGAAGAAACCCACAAATACATGGAGATTAAACAACATACTACTAAAAAATCGACTGTGTTAAGAAATAAAAGGTGAGATCAAAAGATACATAGAGACAAATGAAAATAACAATACAACATATCAAAACTTCTGGGAATCAGTAAAAGCAATGATAAGAAGAAAGTTTATATCATTACAGTCCTATCTCAAGAAACGAGAGACAGTGCCCTCGGGGGTTCGAGGATCTGCCTCTTGCTTCAACAGGGTTTGGGCAGAACAGACCCAGGGATGCCATTTCTTGTAGCCTCTGACTACCCTCCAGCCCTTTTTTCAGTCACCACCTTCAGAATCACCTCAGCCATCCTTAGCCTCTGAGACCAGCCAACACCATTTTTTTGATCGTGACTCCTCATTGCTGAACAATCTTGAGCTCCCAAATTTGTCAGAATTATTCTACTGAGGCGGAGGCTTCCGTCAACCGTCTGGCCAACCTGCATCTGTGGGCCTCTTACACCTACTTTTCTCTGGGCTCCTATTTTGACCATGATGATGTGTCTGCAGGGTGTCAGCCACTTCATGCAGAGTTGGCAGAGAATCGCAGGGGTGCTTGCTGAGCATCTCCTGAATCTGCAAAACCAATGAGGTGGCTGCATTCTCTTCCAGGGTGTGCTGAAGCCTTCCCAAGATGAGTGGGGTAGAAGTCAAGATGCCACGGAAGCCACCTTGGCCTTGGAGAAGAACCTGAACTAGGCCCTTTTGGATCTGCATGTTTTGGGTTCTACCTGCACAGACCCTCATCTCTGTTGACTTCCTCAGAGAACCACCTCCTGAGGAGGTGAAGCTCATCAAGACATCGGTGACCACCTGACTAACACCCACAGGCTGGCTAACCCCCAGGCTAGGCTGAGCGAATATCTCTTCGAAAGGCTCATCCTCAAGCTCATTTAGGAGCCTTTGGAGCCCAGAGGCTTTTGAGGGGCCCCTCTGCATTTCCCTGGTATCTGGCTTTTGCTAGAGCCTCCCTGAAACTACTAGGCATACTTTTAACCACACTGGAGCCCTCTCCCCTTCAATGAACTAAATGGAAACAATAAAACTTTGCAGCATAAAGGAAGGAAAGAGGGAAGGAGGGAAAAGAAATGAGAAATCCCAAGTAAATAACCTAATGATACATCTTAAAGAACTAGAAAAAAAGAACAAAAGCAACCCAAAGTAAGCAGAAAAAAGGAAATAATAAAAATTAGAGCAGAATTGAAATGAGATAGAAGACTTTTAAGACTACACGAAATGAATACAACAAAGAGCTAGCTCTTTTAAAATATTAAATTACTGACATACCTCTGGCTAAACTCACTAAGGGAAAGAGACTAAAGACTTAAATGAACGAAATTAGAATGAAAGTTACCACAAACATCACAGATATACATAGGATCATACCAGTATACTATGAAAGACTATATGTCACCAAATTCAATAACAGAGAAGAAATGGTAAGTTCCTAGAAATATATAACCTTTCTAGACTGAATCATGAAGAATTGGAAAATCTAAATGGACTGATAAACAGCGAGGAAATGGAAACAACCATCAAAAACCCATCCAAAAAAAAAAAAAAAAAAGGCTAGGACCAGATGGCTTCACCGGTGAATTATACCAAACATTTAAAGAATGTTTGATACCTATCCTTTTCAAACTCTTCTAAAAAATTGAAGAAGAGCCAATATTTCCTAACACATTTAATAAGGCCAGCATAACCCTATACCAAAACTTGTCAAGGATCTCACACACACACACACACACACACACACACACCCACCCCCACACACACATCTATATACATACATGCACAAACGACAGACTAATATCTCTGATGAATACATATGCAAAAATACTAAACAAAATACTAGCAAATCAAATACAACAATACATTAAAAAAAATAATATACCACAATCAAGTGGAGTTCATTCCAGGAGCACAAGGATGGTTCAACATATGCAAATCAATCAATTTAATACATCACATTAAAAATCTAAAAATCATATGAACAGATGCAGAAAAAGCATTTGATAAGATACAGCATCAATTTATGATTAAAACATTACGTAAAATGGGTATAGAAGGAAGGTACCTCAACATAATAAAGGCCATGTGTGACAAACCTTCAGCCAATATACTCAATGGTGAAAAATTGAAAGCTTTTCCTCTAAAATCAGGAACAAGTATCCTTATTCACCACGCTTAGTCAGCCTAGTTCTGGAAGTCTAGCCAGAGCAATTAGGCAAGAGAAAGAAAGAAAAGTCATCCAAACTGGGAAGGAAGAAATAAAAGTGTCACTTTTTGCAGATGACATGATTCTGCATATAGAAAACTCTAAAGACTTCACCAAAAAAACTTTTAGAAACAATAAACAAATACAGTAAAGTTGCAGCATACAAAATATACAAAAATCCACTGTTTTCCTATATACTAACAATGACACTTCAGAAAAAGAATAGGAAAAAACCAATTCATTTTTCAATTGCAACCAAATGAATAAAATACATAGTAGTGAGCTTAACAAAGGATGTGAAGGACGTATAAACTGAAAACTATAAAGCATCATTGAAAGAGATTGAAAAAGACAGTGAAATGGAAAGATACTCTTTGTTCATGGATTGGAAGAATTAACATAGTTAAAATGACCATATTACCATTACCCAAAGCAATATACAGAGTTAATGCAATCCTCATCAAAATTCCATTGTCACTTTTTAAAGAAATAGAACAAGAAATCATCAGATTTGTATGGGGCCACAAAGACCTGAATAGCCAAAGCAATTGTGAGAAAAAAGAGCAAAGCCAAACATCACACTGCCTGGTTTCAAATTAGACTACAGAGCTATGATAGTCAAAACAGCATAGCATTGGCAGAAGAACAGATACACAGGCCGGTGGAACAGAACTGAGACCCTAGAAGTAAAACCACAACTACATGGGCAAATATTTTTTTTGACAAAGGAGCCACCAAAAACACACAATGGAGAAAAGAAAGACTTTTCAATAAATGGTACTGTGAAAATTGGAAAGTCACATGCAAAACAATGAAACTAGATCATAGTCTCCATATATAAAAATTAATTAAAAATTAATCAAAGACCTAAATATAAGATCTGAAAACAATAATATTACATAGTAGAAAACATAGGTACTAAACTTATGGACCTTGGCCATAGAAGTATTTTATGAATTTGACCCCAAAGGCAAGGGAAGTAAAGGAAAAACAAATGAATAGGACTATATCAAACTAAGAGGCTTCTGCAAAGCAAAAGAAACTGACAGCAAAACAAAAAGGCAGATAGATAAGGCTGTTCTCAAAACAGGCAACTACGGTTTCTAAAGTTACAATGATAAATATCAAATATATATGCAAAACTTGTAGATATATAATTATAGATATAGAATCTTAAAATTTTAAGAAGTTATTTATTAAAACCAGTTCCACAAAACAACCTGTCAGAACGACAAAAAGAAAAAAGAATCCAGCTCTGGCTGGTGTGGTTCAGTGGATTGGGCACTAGCCTGTGAACCAGAAAAAGGTTGCTGGTTTGATTCCCAGTCAGGGCACATGCCTGGGTTGCGGGCCAGGTCGCCAGTTGTTGGGTGTGTGAGAGGCAACTGAGTGATATGTCTCTCGCACACTAATGTTTTTCTCCCTCTCTTTCTCCCTCCCTTCCCCCCTCGCTAGAAGTAAGTAAAGAAAGTCTTTTTTTAAAAAAGAAAGAAAAAGGATCCAAGAAAATGAGCATAATGTAAGCAGCCTCTGGGACATTTTCACATGTACCAACATTCACATCATAGGGGTGCCAGCAGAAGAGAAAGAGCAAGAATTTGGAAATCTGTTCGAAAAAATAATGAAAGAAAACTTCCCTAATTTGGTGAAGGAAATAGACATGCAAGTCCAGGAACCACAGAGAGTACCAAACAAGCCAGATACAAAAAGGCCCACTCCAAGACAGTTCATAATTAAAATGCCAAATGTTACAGATAAAGAGAGTCTTAAAAGCAGCAAGAGAAAAGCAGTTAGTTACCTACAGGGGAGTTCCCAGAAGACTGTCAGCTGATTTCTCAAAAGAAACTTTGTAGGCTAGAAGGGACTGGCGAGAAATATTCAAAATCATGAAAAGCAGGGACCTACAGCCAAGATTGCTCTACCCAGCAAAGCTTTCATTTAGAATCAAAGGGCACATAAAGAGCTTCCCAGACAAAAAAAAACAAAATGAAAGGAGTGCATCATCACCAAACCCTTATTATATGAAATGTTAAAGGGACTTATTTAAGAAAAAGATTAAAACTGTGAACAATAAAATGACAAAAAATACAAATCTATCAACAATTGAATCTAAAAAACAAACTAAACAAACAAGAACAGAGACAGAATCATGGATATGAAGAGTGTTTTGATGGTTGCTAGATGGGAGGGGTATTTGGGGGAATGCGTGAAGAGGTGAGGGGGATCAAGAAGCACAAGTTGGTAGTTAGAGAATAGCCATGAGGATGTAGAATACATTATAGGAAATGGAGTAGCCAAAGAATTCACTTGCATGACTCATGGACATGAACAATGGTGTAATGATTGCCTGAGGGTGTGGGGAGTTCTGGGTGGAGGGGGAAGGGGAGGAAATTGGGACAACTATAATAGCATAATCAATAAAATATAATTTTTAAAAAAACTAGTTTCAGATTTTTAGGAATTTTTTGTTTGGATGCTGATATGTTCATGCAGAAGAGAGGTTATACCTACTGACTGAGGTTCTCTTATAGATCACACCTACAGTGACAGCACGGAGATGGTGAAGACCATTGTGCATACTGTGCAGAGTCAGGACCGGGTTCTGAAGGAGCTGTTTGGTCATCTGAGGTAAAAAAAAAAAAAAAAAAAAAAAAAAAAAGTCATTTTATTTCCTATTGAAAAGCCAGGGTATTTTTATGATCTTCCTTTCAAAATGTAATACCCCCTTTTGGCAAATACACTAGATCTAGGAAGAGTTGTGCCAGAACCTTGAGTAGCTTGACCACAGCTGTGTGCATTTAAGTGTCCTGTTTTTGTGCATTGCTTTGGAGATCAATCATTAAATCTCACTCTGATTATCGTTCATTTCCCCAGCTGGATTTGAGAGTATGGTGTACAGTCTTGTGGGTTGTGTAAGTGTCTGACACTGATTTCATCTCTCCAGCAAGTTGTTGGGCTGTAAGCAGAAGATTATTGACCTGCTACCCAAGGTGGAGATAGCCCTCAGTAACATCAAAGAAGCTGACAGTACTGTCATGTTTATGCAGGGAAAAAGGCAGAAAGAAATATGGCATCTCCTTAAAATTGCCTGTGTAAGTAACTTTTAATGAATTTTTTATTTTTTTTTTTCATCACCCAAGGACTTGCTTATTGATTTTAAAAAGAGGGAATGGGAGGAAAAGAAACATTGATAGGTTGCCTCTTGTACGCCACCTGACCAGGCCCAAACTTGCAACCTAGACATGTGCCCTCACCGGGAATCAAACCCATGACCTTTCAGATTATGGGACAACACTCCAACCAAATGAGCCACACTGGCCAGGGCTTGAATTATTTAATGTGACATTGATTTGTCATTCCCTGCAAAAGGGATTTTTGATGCATGATCTGGGTCCTCTTGAAGACAGGTATATTTTGTGTTGGATTGATGCTTGCATTCTTTGCTTGGTGTCTGACTAGCAGTTCAGATGCAGGACTTCATGATCACCCTTCCTTATCTTTCCTTTCCAGTCTCCAGTTGTTATCCTCCTCCCAGCTCTTGACCACTGTGGTATCCCACCCTGATTTGGGGATAGATGTGCCTGTGTGACTAGTTAATAAAACCCTTTGTTCAAATGGGTGTTTTCCCTCCAACTAAAATGGAATTAGATGGGTAGATACATTTGTATTTAGTTAATGAAGAAAGGGCCTGGGGATATGATAGTTAGTAGTGATATGTAATACCCACTACTGGGGAGTTTTGTGCAAAAATATTCTTGTTGTGCATATAAGTTGTGATAAAAATATGTCTTAGGTATGTGGTAGGAAATTGTATGAATCAGTGGAGATACTTGCCTGTAATCTTACTTATATTTTCCTTCAGACACAGAGTTCAGCTCGGTCCCCTCTAGGATCCAGTCTAGAAGGTGCAGTAACTACCCCTCAGGCATCTGCATGGCTGCCCCCGACATCAGTAGAACGTGAACATCCTCTGTCATGCGTGGTAACTCCTCAAGATGGGTGGGTTCACTTTGTAACAATAGATAGTTGTGTTTTCATGACAGTGATAGGAATGAGGCAGTAGAACATAGTGGTTAAGGCATAGCCTTCAGTGCCCTGTCTCTTTGTAATAACCATGTACAATTAACTTGACTCTTTTAACGCTCACATTCCCTCACCTGTAAAATGGGAACTGCTGTGAAAATTCAGTTAGACAACATATGTAAAGTACTGAGAAGTAAATATTCAGCAAATGTTACTTATTATTAGCTCAATCCAAGTTCTAAGTTCTTCTTCTGTTATTGGCTTATCAGTTCTTTTACCCAAACTTTATTCTTTCCTTAACCATTTATCTCTGAGAAATTACGCTTTTTGTGTTTATCATTTTAGTGTCTTGACCACCATTCTAATGAATTGTTGCGTTTAATCTGTTTTATAACTTAGTATTTCTAATAATCAGACTGTAATGCCTTAAATCAGTTTTGCAAATAAGAACTGAAGTTTGAAGCCCTATATATTTTTTTTATTAATTCCTACTCTTCTGCTAAAAGCTGAATGACTATCCATTTCTGTTATTTTTCTCAGCATAAGATGTGCCGTATCGAGAGCCAGTGGCTCTTTGCTAGCTTGTGTCTTGTCGCTTTTCTCACAACTCATGGAGACCTCTACAGAACCTGCATTTCCTGGAAGCTCTGCCCATAATTAGTTTTGCAGAAGTGCAACCATGTTACATCACTGCTCAGGAGGTCATGCAGTTTGCACATTCTGTACTCTACTTTTATGAGAGAAAAGCACATGGCAGGAAGGCAAGCTGATAACAGGTATTTTATTTTTTTAAAAGGAAGCAAGTTTCAGGTTATATCTTGGGGTCATTGTAGATTTGGCCCAGGGTAATACATCCACAGCTACAGCACAGGCTATAATTAATCATATAGACTTTAGGAAATAATTCCATTAATCAGCATTAAATCAAATAAAATTTAATATATTACTAACCTTTTTGCTTTCATTTAAAGGCATTCAGGTTTGTTAGGGGATGCCAATGCTTGCAGATGTCACCTCTGTACAGTTAATTTCAGATCTGAGGTTGTGGTTGTTTGCAAAAGTGTTGAAATGTTTTCCTGTAGGAATACATTATAAAGGAAAACTGATTTCAATTATTATGTACCTGTGATACTTAACCAGCAAGTTGGGAATGGTTGGACTCAGTTTTCTGTCTGTTGACAAAGAGCTAAATTAGAATTAATTCTAAGCTAAAGTGGCTATAAACCATGGCCTAGAATCAGTTCTAGTAAGGTAGTGACTCTGTGGGGTAGTAAAAGGTGAGGATAAAGGCCACACTGAAGAGGAAAGCATGGAAGGCGGGAACCAGATTCAGGATTTCCTTCAAATATAAATTTCCAGGAATCTTCTTGGTTCTGGGCAGCTCCCCTGTCAGTTTTCTTCTGCTGTCTTCAGGAATCAGCTTGCTTGTTTCATTTTTTTCATTGCTGTAATCTGTAGTTTCCAACAAGAGTTTTTCACTTTTCCCTGATCTTTGCAGAACAAATTGTACTTTTGCATCTTTTCCCTTGTATTTGTGTTTGTGAACTGTAACCATGCCGATGGTCTTACTACTTGTAAGGAAAGGGAAATATTCCAGAAACAAAAAGAGATCTTTTGTCTGTCTGTGCCACAAGGATTTCCCTTTCTCCCACCTATCAAGTTAGCGTTTTCAGCGGGGGCGGGGGACGGGGGAGTTATATGTATAAGTACCACTTTTATTTCAGAGAAAAATAAGGTTGGAGTTTATATTATAGACTTACTATTATTAAAGCTGGGCAGAGGCGACAGACAGACTCACAAGCAGAACTGTGCCTCTGGGTGGGAAGGATGAGGAAACTGAAGACTACAGGAATCATCTGCATTGGGGTGCAGGGTTGCAGGAAGGGCAGTGATCATCTGACCCTGAAGAGCAAAAAGTAGAGAAAATTCATAGGCCCCTTTGCTGAATATGGAAAGGATTTGTTTTTTTCCCATCTCACAGGCAGACTTTGGCACAAATGATAGAAGAAAATTTGAACTGTCTTGGCCATTTAAGCACTATTATTCATGAAGTAAATGAGGAACAGAGCAGTAGGATGATGGTAAGTTTTATATGGATATGGATGTGCGTTTCAGGTATACAGGTGCAAAGGGTTTAACTTTACGTGCTAGCCTTACCTGGCATTCGGGATGCATATGGGGAATAGAAGAACTCAGAGGAAAGAGAAAGAGCTTTAGAGAAATATCCTCGATCTCAAATCCCCATCTTTTCTTACTCATGGATATACTAGGATTATGTCGTCAGTAATCTTCAACAGTAGCATTTATGGTCAAATTAAATGATGAGTGAGCTTTCTTTGTAATGTGACCACTGAAATCAAATGGTTTGTACCTTTTTGCTTCAACAATTTTCTCCAGGAAGATGGGGCAGGATTTATATTATAATTCCAATTCAGAAACTGCTGTATACAAAGTGAATACTGTTAATAATAGTTTTATTTAGTGGAAGTATTTATATTAAGATTTAGTTACTACAAATTACTGATTTGTTAAAACTTGGAGAAACAACTAAGTATTTATTGGGTTAACTTTTTTACATTTAGTCTCAATGTCAACTCTTTGTACCTCCTTTTTCATTAGTTATTTGCTTCAAATATTTATGGAAAGTCTTTGAAATATTTTTTAATTAGCATAAAATAAGGTAAACTAAACTCTACTTGCAACTTATGCTCTTAATTGTTCAACTTTTGACTTTAAAATGTCCAAACATACAGAAAACTTGCAAAAATTAACACTTATAAACCTACCACTTACAGTTAACATCTAATTGTAATCTTTTCATGCCTGGTTTTAGAATCTTGATTGGAGTTGGTTAACAGAATGACTTGCCAGTTATTCACTGTCCCCAGACCTGTGGACGTTGTTGCCGTACATTTTTGAAATCCTTCTCCCATGAAACCATTCTTCAGACACCGTTCATTGGAAGAAATGGCTGTGATCAAAAATTACTCATGGTTTTACAAAGGCAGTATTCTGGTTTTGGATAATTTTAACCCCTGAACAGATAGAATTTTATGTCTGTGAAATTGTTTAAATACTGCAGCTACCTAGGAATATCACTGCAATTTATTTAACTTTAAAGTTGGTAAAATATTACTTATTCAACTGACTAAAAGTACCTTTTAACATTCAACTTTTTGGCATAAGTTAATAACATACAGGCCAAAAGTAATACATGCAGAGAGGAAAACCTCTACTGACATGTGTTCCAAGTAAATGTTGTCTGCCCGTGTTTCTGTGACAGACTGCTCACAAGGAAAATTGTACTTCTTGAAGAATAAACCCTACCTCCTTGTGTTGCACTCAACAGTGCTCTTTCTGGCATCGTAAGGAGTTGGTTCAATCCCATTTTCAATTTTATTGCACATTTGAAAGTATTCCTTTCCTACAGAAGGGACTGCGCATCTTTGCTTTTAATACCAGTGGGCTGTCGTGTGCTATGTGTATATCTTAAGTGTCCTATGTGTATATGTATTTAAGATGTACATTTAGTAATATCAGAGAGAAGATGTCTGTTAATTTATAATGTATTTGAAAGCGTATATATGTCTTTTCATTTGTAAAAATGGGTCATTTGTTTCAGGAATCATTCATGTCTCATCATACAAATACATAGAGGTCTGCACTCCCTCTCCTGTAATTCCAAAATCCAAAAAGCTCTGAAGACAAAGTTTTTCAGAAACTTGGTGACAAAACTCATCTGCCTGCAAATTTAATCTGAACTGACAATTGAGTCTACTTATCCCATTTAGTGTGAATATCCATTTATTTTGCTGCAGAAATATTAACATGTTTGATTATTTGGGGACAGGGAAGGCTACTGCCACAGACCCTGCTAGGTGTTTATGTAATACGGTGGTATATGCACTGAATTACCTTTCTAAAATCTGAAAATTTCATAATTCTGAAACATCTGGCTCCAACGATTTCATGTAAAGGATGTGGAGCTATCAAATGTTAATTTAGAAGATACTTGTTTTTAAAAAAATGTGAAATGCTTTTGTATTATAGACAGTTTTTCATTTTGTGTATTAAATGATCTTTGAACTACTTTTTGCCTCTCTAATCATTAAAATCAGACGAATATCTTTGACCCTTAAACTACACAGGGGTTAGGGGTGTCAACCCCCCCACACAGTCGAAAATCTGTGTATCACTTTAGCTTCTATAGTTGGCCCTTCACATCTGTGAGTTCAACCAGTGGAAGTTGGGAATGCAAAAACACTGTTGTTTGTGGTTGGTTGAATTTGCCGACACAAAACCAGCAAATAAAAAGCGTTGACAGTTTATTTTAAAAAACTGTGGACCTACACAGTTCAGACTTGTGTTGTTCAAGAGCCAACTGCAGTTGAATGTAGTCTGGGAAAAAGTGGAGGTTCCATGAAGTGGAGTTGGAGCACAGAATAACACGATGGTCTCTCACCGTACTTTCCTTAGGAATTATACAGGACTTCCAGTAAAGACAGTATTGGGTAGCTTCTTTAATAGTCTTTTCACCTGAGATGCCCTGTCATCACTGTCCATATCTAAAAGCCATGCTCATATCTTGCCCTAATAAACGAATGTCTTAGTCACACCATCTCCTTTTTGCTTGTAGTGTCATTTTCCCGATCATCGAAGTTTGAAACCCTGGGCTTGTCTTCTAACATTTTAATCATCTGATACTACTGTTTCTCTAAATACAGAAATTTTACTGTCAGCTGTTATAAAGGACAGTGTCTCTCTTGCTTCTCTACTTCTAGATTTTAAACAAACATTTATTGAGTCCCTGTTGTTTGAAAGATACTGAACTAGATGGCAGAATCAGAAATAGTTAACACAGGCAGTACAGTAAGAACAAATACTTATTTGGGAGTCAAAGCCATCCAAGCATTGAAATTATTGTTCAAGGATTTTTAAAATTATCATGTATTTTCTAAATATTGTAATAACTGATAAAAAGATTAGCCGTAGGGTTTGGCCATTTTATGTTTTGTGGCTGGGGTGATGGACATCAGAGTAGTCTGATCGACATGATGACAGGTGGTGTAAGTCAGAACAGGTTATTATAACTAAAACCACCTCAGACTTGCTTTTGATGCAGTAGTTGATCACTCTGATTTTGTTGGGTGACAGCTTTTCAGAGTTGAATGGCATTTGTGAATTGTATAGATTTCATTGTCAATATCAAGCACTACTGTGAAAAACTAAGAATCCAGGAAATGGGCTAGAACAAGTTATTTTTCATTCTTTTTGCTTTTTGGAAGTTAAAATAAGCTCTGCAAGTACCGTTTATCTGAAGTAGACAAGGTCCCAGGCATTCCTAAGTAACAAAAGGCAAAGGAATGATACAGGTAAATGCACTTACTGAAGGTAGAGGATAGAGAGGTCTGGGAGGGTTTGCTTTAATGAAGACGAAGTCTATTGACCACTTCCCATTTCCAGAGTTAACTACCATTGTAACTTTAGGCCCGCAGTTTCTAACCACTTTGCTTCCCTGCCTCCATTCTGTCTCCACTCTAAACCAGTTTGCAAAATCACTGCCCCTAAAACACTGCTTTCCCATACTTCCCTGCTTAAGAGGTCAGAGCCCTCCAACCCTAGTTTACTTGTCCAGTTATGGTCCCACTGTTAGCCTTTGAAGGCTTACAGTAACCATTACTGCCCAACCTACTCTAATATGCTGCCCTCATTTCCCTTGTATTATTAGTCCCTCTCACTCCAACCTCTACTCTTTAACTTCGTCCTTTTTGTTTTTGGTAATAGATGCACATGATGCCTATTTTAAAAAAAAAAAACAGAAGAATATGCAGTAAAAAGAAAGTCTATTCTCCAGTCACCCAGTACTCTCCCTGCGGAAAAGGTGCATTTGAGCCTTTCAAAACCTGAGCCTACCCTACCATCTCACTCCTTTCCATCATACTAGCTTCAAGGAAACTAAAAATGCTCACTGTTCTTTTTCTTTTTCCTAGAGGACCCGTACCTATTGCTTGGATGGCCCTCACTAGATAAGCATTCCAGCACATTAACAGGTACTCAGAATTTGAGTACTTCCACTTTACTTGGAACAAATCCGGCTGCTCCTGAAGCACATCCTTGTCACCTAGGCTTCGGTATAAAACACACAAGAACAAATAAACGGAAAGCTACCACACTGAGAGAGACAGTGTGGGTCTTTGAGCAACAACAAACTGACCAGTCCCTTTTCCCAGAGGCCCTCTCCTTCCTCTGCATGCCTGCTTACTCCATATTAACGACTTCTCTTCCGGAACAGGAAACCAGCGCACAGATAAGAGCCCTAGTACTTCAGCGGGAAATTGCGCTGTAGGCGGTTGGGAGAATTTTGTCCCGCCCGTTGCCCGTCTCTTTAGTCACGGTGCGAGCTCTGCGTCGGCCTGCGTGCCCGCGCAGCCGCAGAGCCAGGCGAGTGGGCGGGGCCGGCGGTTGTAGGCGGTTGGTGCGGTGGGGAGGTGGCTGCACGTGCCGATGGGGGCGATGCGTCACTGATCCCTGAGGCGCGGTGGAGGGGTCGGCCTCCCTTCGGACGTGTAGTTGGCCCCCTTCTTTGTTAGTATTTTCTGCTGGTGGGAGCGGCCATGGGTGGGGGCGGGTGTTACGACGCTTACAGAGCAGGACTTGTGGGCACGTCTCCTAGTGAAATAATTAACTTGCAGAGCAGGGGTTATCGGGGTGGGGGCGGGGAGCGGGGAAGGGTTCGGCGAGGCGGAATGAAGGAGGGAAAAGGCGCACAGGACTCCCCGGCTCGGCTGCGGAAGGGCTCCAGTTGTCGGGACGCAGAGGGTGGGAACCAGAGAGGGTAGGCCTGTCTCTCAAGAGGTTGGGGGTCTTTTCCTCCCTTATTTAGGAGAAACGAGGATGAATATGACTCAAGTCCGGGTTCTGGTGGTTGCAGTAGTGGGTCTGGTGGTCGTTCTTCTTTACGCCTCCATCCACAAGATCGAGGAAGGACATCTGGCTGTGTACTACAGGTGAGCAGCTTGTGCGGTCAGTTCAGGTTCTAGAGCAGGTAGAAGGAAGACTCCCTGTAAGAGTGGCGTCTAGGAAGTTGTTCCCTCTGCAGCATCGGGGGACCCTCTCCATTCCTAGGGAGTGATTTTCGTCCCAGCTCTGGGAAGAGTATGGGGGCCCAGACACGCTTTTGCAGGGCGCCGTGCAGGTGTTGGACAATTTCAGTGCTATGTATGTTTTGTGCAGAGGTTGAATCTTTACAGTTACTCCTTGTAAACCCAATTATTTATAGAGAAAAAAATGAAGGAAGGAAGGCAGTGATCACTTCACCTGTAATTGAAGACATAGCTAAGTCATTGTTGTATTCCATACAACTGTAGAGGGTTTCAGTTTGAGCTTTATATGCTATTTTGAAACTCTGGTCCTGTTTGTGATGGTTCTTTAGATCCCCCTCCCCCCCCGCTTCGAAAGCACCTAGTGTTTGGTTTTGGCTTATAAGGCCAAAACGTGATGACCGTGATAGTTGTTATATCTCTGGACTTCGAGGCACATAAAAACAGTATTGATGGGCCACCCTCATTTCACCTTACCCCTTTTTTTCAGGTTAAGGAAAGGAATGGTATGGAATATGTGGCTCTCTAGTTGAACTCACATAGCTTTTCCTTCAACATGGTGCCACCAGTTCCTTTTGGCTTAGAGGACAGTCTGGAGAAATTGAAATAACAATGTGCTTGAAAGGGCTTCAACTTTTTGCTTGTTTCCATCATCCCCTAAAAGTGACATTTCTACTTTTAAATCCACCTGAATCTTAGAAACAGTTTTCCTCGTGAAGCTCTACTTTCAAATGCAATTTTAGCAAATGTCTTAGCAGATGGAGGTCTCGCATTAAAAATGACAGATTAGTTCATATTCCCATATTATTCCAGCATTGCCTAACTGGTAGTAAAACCAAGGAAAGAACTTTTCAAGGAATGGCTCTCAAAAAATTGGGGAGGGACCTCAGACAGTTCATTTTTTCTTAGTTATTTGTTAGGAATTCTTTGCCGACCTATTTATATTTTCAAATAGAAACGTAAGTTCTATGAAGTTACTCTTCAGTAAGTAAAATAGGACTTCTTTTAATACTTGCTCCCCAAATGCCTCTTTTTTTATCATTTCCAAAATGTGCTGTTATAGTTCTCACATTTCAGAATTTGGTGAACAAGTCCACGATGATATTCTATATTCTCTCAACTTATAGTCTTATTCCCTCATCCTTTTTGAATTTTTAAATAAATGTTATGCCCCCAGTATTTTAATTGCTTTATAGGTAACTTAAAAGAATCTTGAGCCTCAGAAATTTTCTCCTTCCTTGAAAGTTGGCATTATCTTCTTTTATATATTTTTATTTTTTATTTTTTAATTAATTTATTTTTTTTTTTTACTGTTGTTCAGTTACAGTTGTCCTGCCTTTTTCCCATTTGCTCTGCCTTGCCCCAGCATTATCTTCTTTTTTCAGTCTGGTGATTAAATGTTGTTATGTTTTGAACTGGCTCATGTTATTCACAAATAAAATACAGCAGCTAAGAGCCATTAGAATTTTTTTACAGGTATTTCTCAGACAGTTGAAGACCAATGAAAATTTTTTTGTATCAGGAGACCTAGAGATATGATTGGTCTAGCTTATGAAACAAGGTGTAACATCAGTTCAGTGTGACTTTTTTTGCCTTCTTAGCTGCTGCAGATAATTTAGGGATCAGCAGTTGTTCATAATGAGTAATTTGTATCAGCGAGGCTTTTATAGGTGAATAGCATGAGTAAGAATTAATACTTACTACAGCATTTTAGATATGAAAAGAGAATTTCTCCTCTTAATCTTGTCAAATTGAAACATCTCTTTGCAGGGGAGGAGCTTTACTAACTAGCCCCAGTGGACCAGGCTATCATATCATGTTGCCTTTCATTACTACGTTCAGATCTGTGCAGGTGAGTGATTTCTAGGGAAGTCCCTACACTGGATAGACAGGTGTGACAGGATCAGTTGCCACATTTGTGGGTGGGGATAGATTCCCTTATTGTTTAAAGCAAAGGTGATATTTACTTAAATGCAGTAGTTAAAAGTACAGAGTACAGGTTACAATTTTGAACCACCTCACTCTTGAAGTATATTAGAAGTAAGAGCTGCTTAGGCAGCTTGGAAGGACTGACTTCTCACATCTGTATAGTGCTATGCAGCAAGCTTTCTGCTGTCAAAATAAAAGCAGGACTTCACAACACAACTAGAAATACAAACCAGTGATTACTTGGTTTAGAATAGTGATTGGTTTCTGTAGAGGTAAAGCTCCTGGACTACGGTTAACGTGGAGGATCTGAATTTTTATATATGGCTTTTCTGCCTCACATTTTTGCGTGGGACATTAAGCATAATTTGATGTGGACCCTTAGAGAATGTTCTATTTTGATAGCATTCCAGAGTTTTTAAAGTAGCATCTGATCATTTAGAACAATGTTCTTGGCCATAATTATACTTAGTAACTGTGTTTTGACATAACAAGATGACAAAATAGGATTAGATTGTGACTCTTTTTGTAAACTTGGTGTGATCATAAATCTCTGGATTCAGAAGTTTGTCTTCAAACTGCTAGTTTTCCAGGACTGAGGAAGATTTAATGTATTTAATCCTATAATTTAAGTCTAGGCTTCTTGCTAAGTGAGAGTTTCATTATGAATACTTAAGTCCTAGGTTTCCTTCCAATTTGTGTTTAGATGGTTTAGGGCAAGAATTTGTATCTTTTGAAGTGAAGTGTGTTCTCCTTTTAGTCAGACTGATTTCCATATTGTTTTTCCATATTTATTCACTCTTGCCTTGGTTTGTGCTGTCACCTCTCTCTCCCCATCTCTCCCTTCATTTCCTCTGTTCTGTCTAAATCTTTCCAGGCTTCTTAAGGCTCATTGCAAATCCCTCTTCTAAGCTATGCCTCAGAAGTCTGTATTATAAATTTTGGCCCTTGGTCTTATTTCTTTTAATAATGTTGTCCTGTATTGTTCTCTAAGTTTTTTGTGTGTACTTTCTTTCCAGAAAATCTCCAAGCTTCTTGAAGGTAGAGATCGTAACCCATTTATATCTCTGACCTTTCTACTTGTGAAAGTTGTTAAATTGAACTGATTTCTCAGGAAGCAGTATGATGTAGTGAACATGGGCCCAGGAACCTGGAGACTTAGGTTGTGGTTCTGACACCAGTTAATTATATGACTTCGCAAAAAAATCACTTCACTGCTGTAGACTTTCAGTATTCTTCCGAAAAAGAAGGAGTTTTAATTACTTGACCTCACCAACAGCCCAAACAGTTTATAATGATGTTATCAATGGCACCATCAGACCCTGAGAGATTAGGGACTTTTTTAGATTTGTTCAGTGCCAGGAGAATCTATCTCTGCTTACTTAGAGCTTAGTATGTTAAGTCATACTGATGCAGAGATATATAGAAGAGATATAGATAATAAACATTAAATAGGTTTTAGAGTTTAATTGCAGATATAACAAATATAATATATAATGTATATATATGTATTTTGTAATAAACTATAATACAAGAAATGGAAATGAAAGTAGTAAAGAGATTTCAGTGTAAATAAATATACTTTGTATTTACAAAAAAATTGAATGGAGCCAGTGTGACTAAGTAGGACTATTCTTTTTTTAATGTGTGAAACAGTAACATTCTAGGAAAGAATTAATTAATAAAACTCTTTTAAGAAATTGTTCTAATATGAATGAAACATAAAAAATTTATTTTTATGAATTTTTAGTACATATTAGAAGGCATAGCTTTCTGTGTTGTTGTAGACTATGGAAATTGAATTTTGTTAATGTTTTGAAGGACCTATAATAAAATAAACTCACCTCTTGAGCAACTTCTCACTCTACATAGAACCTGTCACTATGTTCACCATTACCCTAATCTCTCACCCCTAGTGTTAGATTCTGTTCTTTTCCTCCCTGGAATTTTATATGCAACCAGTTATTAAATCATTTCTCTATTATATCTCCTGAATTGACAGCTTTTAATTTCCATGCACTTTACTAAATAAGTCTAAATAAATTAATACTTTAGCTTCCCAGCTTCTTTTCTTGCCTCTAAGTATGGTGGATACTGAGAAGTACACCACATATGAGCAGAGGAATTAAGGAAAAAACATTTTTGAAAGGTTAATTTTGTGGCTGTATATAAGATAGACTGGGGAGAGCCCAAGTCCCACCCCTTCCTCCCTCTCCCCTCCCTACCAACACAGAAGGCCCTCTACATAATACCATGTTGTGTGCTCAGAATTTCAACTTTCATCTATGTTGCCCCTTCTGCCATAGACAAGGCAGTCTGCTTCCTGTCACTTGTACATACAGTTTATCCTCAACTTTGTGTATTTGAATAGGATGTTTATTGAACTTAAGATGTTCCTCTGCCTCATCTGTTTTTATTTCTTCTGCTCCAGACCTGGCTTATAAATACTTCACTTCTGAGAGCTTTTCAACCTATCATTTTACTCTCTGTCACTTAATACCTAACAATTCACTTTACCCTGTGTTCTTTTGTACCTGTTACAGATTGGTTTGTAAGGATTTTATCTCCTGTGTTGGATAGTGAACTCTTTAGAAACAGGGACTACGCTTCCTTTTTCCTTTGTATTCCATAAAGTAATATGTTGCTATGTGCAGTGTGTCTAGATATATTTATTAGGTATTCAGGTGTCAGAAGCCTTAGAATGCAATAGAGAATCATTCTGGATCCAAACAAAGGGGTAAGGTAATGAAGTACCAAGTTGTTGGTTTGCTACAAGGAAGCAATGCTGTGGTGGCACTTCTGTTAAAAAGGAAATTGAACAGACCATTTGAGACATCACTAGGGCCTGAACTAAAATACTGACTATAACTTTTGAGGAAAGGATGTCTGTTCAGTTCAAGGGTACCTTTGAGTTGTAGGCTACTTGTATATGCATTTAATACTTATTTTTTACCTTACTGTAAGCGGTAATATTAGCAATGGAATAAAAATTCAGAGCACAAATCTTTGTAGTAGTACCCTTGTAAAGTAAACCATGTAGTTCGTAATCCAAGGCCATTTCCAAGCAAATAAGGGACTTTGAGAGGTTGAACATTGAAACTTCCATATTGAACACTGAAACTTTGTTAGTGCCTCCTGAGTCAAGCATTAGCTATGAACTATTTTGTCTCAAAGCTTTCATGTCTACTAGGATAAAAGAAATTAACTTTGATAGCAGATCTTTGGGTGCTAAAATTGTAATGGAGTGCTCTTGTGCTTACCTCTGAGCAGTTCTCCAGAGGTTTTCCTCTGGGACCAGTGGTTCTGTGATGCTATGTGTCCTGAGTATTAACGAGATATTTTTCCTCCACAGACAACACTACAAACCGATGAAGTTAAAAATGTGCCTTGTGGAACAAGGTAAGCTTCCCCAGCACTTACCATCCTCCCTTTAGTTCAGATGGAGTTTCTGTTATAAGCTCTGATCACGTAAACATCTTTCAAATAAGCATGAAAATACTGGGTAGGCCAAAAGTTCCATTTAGTTTTTTCTATATAATAAAAGACACATTTTTCATTTTTACCAATAATTTTATTGATTTGGATATTTTTAGTATGTCAGATATATCCTACTCTTAGCTTCTAGTGGGTAGAGGCCAGGGGTGCAGCTGAATATCTTCCAATGCATAAGACACCCCCACAGCAAAGAATTATTTGGCCAAATAATTATTTGTCAGTAATACCAAGAAACTTTGCAAACCACTTTTGACATGTTCGATCAGTCACAGCACCTTCTCAGCACACTGCACGAAGCTTTTTTTGCATTTATATCTTTCATGAAATAATAAAGCATGATACGCCGAAAATGTTGCATTATCTTCCTCCATCTTCAATATTAAAATGGTTGCACAAAAGTTACCAGTTTTGATAAGTTTTTTGTTAAATGCTGATGCGACAGCTGTCCCAATAAAATCTAATGAAATTTTTTCAAATGGAAGTTGAAGATAACAAGGCACTGCTAGAGCCATCGTATAGAAAAAAACATAACGGACTTTTTGGCCAACCCAATAATTCAAGGAGATTTCCATTCTGAGCATTATTTGAGGAAAGCTCTATCTCCAAATAGAGGCTTTACATTTTAGGAGCCATTAAGATGTTATTGAAAAGAATCAGCAGACCTAACTTTGTATATCAGCACTGCCACATCTGCTTTGAGTTTTTTAAACAGGACTTTATTTTTTAGAGCACTTTTAGATTTCTAGCTAAATTGAGCAGAAAGTACAGAGTTCCCATACATTTTTTGCTGCCACACATGCGTTTATTGACTTTGTTAAGCTTAGTTTCCTCATTTGTCAAAAGTAGATAATAAAACCTATCTTGCAGAGTTATTCTAAGGAATAGAATTAGTGTATATAAAGTGCCTAACCCAGCACTTGATCCAGAGTAAGTGCTCAATAACAGATAGTTTAAAATGAAATCATCTCACCTGTCATTTGTAGTATTAAAAGCCATCTAATTTAGAGCTTCTGATTCAGTAGGTTTGGAATGAGACCTGTGAATTTGCATTTCTAGGGGAAATTCCCAGGTGATGCTAATGCTACTGATCTTAGGACCTTAACTTTGAAAATCGCTGTCCTGAAGAGTTTTAAGGAAAGAAAGGCAAGCAAAGCCCAAATTATTTCTAGAATATTATCAGTATCCTGAATTGTATCAAAACAAGAATGTAAAATGGAAGCTAGTTTTTAAATGCTCTGTTAAATGACTAAAATATCTATTACCAGCCTATATAAAAGAGACTTTGACATCTCTTCCATCCCATGGAAGGACAGAAATGCTTTTTAAAAGGGAGCAAATTTCCTGTGTTCAAAGTTAACATATAGGGTAAGTTCTCCCTAAGTGTATCTGTAACTCTCTTTTATGGATTCCCTTTAGAGGAGACCCAAAATCGGCCGCTGGTGAGATTTTGGGTAGATCTTATATTCATCTTCTTTTCAGTGTTTTTCAGATTTTTTTTTTTAAGTGAGCATGTATTACTCTTTCTTTATCAGGGAAAAAAATGTCATTGTAATGTCATAAGTTGGTAGAAATGCTTAGCTTGTTTAGTTTCAAAACCTCTAACGTCACATATCTTAAGCCGAAGTTCACATGCCCTTCAGGGTAGGCCAGGAAGTATAGGAAGCCACTAATTAATAAGACCTATCTTTATAGGGTGTCAGTTTGTTTTCAGGGGGAAATTTTTTTTAAATTATTGATTATGCTATTGCGGTTGTCCCAATTTTTCCCCCTTTGCCCCTCTTCATCCTGCACCTCCCACTCCCTCAGGCCATCTGACACCATTGTTCATGTCCATGGGTCAAGCATGTAAGTTCTTTGGCTACTCTATTTCCTATACTGTACTTTACATCCCCATGGCTATTCTGTAAGTACCTATTTTGTACTTTTTAATCCCCTCTTCTCTTTACCCATTCCTCCAGGCCCCCTTACCATCTGGCAACCATTAAAATGTTCTCTGTATTCATGATTCTGTCTCTGTTCTTCTTGGTTGCTTAGTTTGTTTTTTAGGTTAATTTGTTGATAGATACATATTCATTGCCATTTTATCATTCATAGTGTTGATCATCTTCTTTTCTTAAATAAGTCCCTTAAACATTTCATATAATAATGGTTTGGTGATGATGAACTCTTTGTTTTTTCTTGTCTGGGAAGCTCTTTATGTGCCCTTTGATTCTAAATGAAAGCTTTGCTGGGTAGAGCAATCTTGGCTGTAGGTCCCTGCTTTTCATGATTTTGAATATTTCTTGCCAGTCCCTTCTAGCCTACAAAGTTTCTTTTGAGAAATCAGCTGACAGTCTTCTGGGAACTCCCCTGTAGGTAACTAACTGCTTTTCTCTTGCTGCTTTTAAGGTTCTCTCTTTAACATTTGGCATTTTAATTATGAACTGTCTTGGAGTGGGCCTTTTTGTACCTGGCTTTTTTGGTACTCTCTGTGGTTCCTGGACTTGCATGTCTATTTCCTTCACCAAATTAGGGAAGTTTTCTTTTGTTATTTTTTTCTAGTGGATTTCCAATTTCCTGCTCTTTCTCTTCTCCTTCTGGCACCCCTGTGAAGTGAATGTTGGAGTGCTTGAAGTTGTCCCACAGGCTGCTTACACTATGCTCATTTTGGGGGGTTCTTTTTTCTTCTTGCTGTTCTGATTAGTAGTTTTTTTCCTTCCCTATGTTCCAAATCATTGATCTGTTTCTTGGCTTCATCCACTCCATTGTTGTTTCCCTGCAAATTGTTTTTTATTTCAATTAATGTATCCTTTATTTCTGACTAGATCTTTCTCACATTGCTGAGATCCTCAGTAGGTTCCTTGATCACCCTTATAACCAGTGTTTTGAACTCTGCATATGTTCGATTTTGCTTATCTCCATTTTGTTTAGTTCTTTTTCTGGAGTTTTGATCTATTCTTTCATTTGGGCCATGTTTCACACTCTTCTCATTTTGGCAGCCTCCCTGTGCTTGTTTCTCTGTATTAGGTAGAGCTGCTTTGACTCTATGTCCTGGTAGTGTGGCCTGATGTAGTTAGGTGTCCTGTAGGGTCCAGTGGCACAACCTCCCCTATCACCCAAGCTGCGCCCTTTGTGTAGGCTGAGTATATGCTGCTCTTGTAGTTGAGCCTTGGTTGCTGTTGGCAGATCAATAGGAGGGGTTTACCCAGGCCATTCAGCTGCAAGGCCTGGCTGTGACCACCTAGCACCAACCTCCGCCCTCTGTGCAGGATCAGTTGTGCAGGGACAGTGTGGTGGTGCTCCACTGTGGTCTGTAGCTGTCCACTGGGTGTGCTGGTCCTGGGCTTTTCTGGGTGGTACAGGCCAAGGTCAGCCCTCACCTGTGTTTTGCTCAGGGCCACCCTGCCTGAGTTATAAAGCAGTCTGGGATGACTGCTACTTGTGCTAGACTGAGAATCTAGACTGGCTACTGCTAGTGCTGGACCTGGAGCTCATTGAGGCCACCTGTTGCTTGTTTGAGAGGACTTAGGAAGTTATGAAGCATGAGCCAAGATCAGACATTCATATGGAAAAGCAGTTTGGGTGAATGCATAAATTACATGGAGTGGAGTCCCTGGGGATCTCCAAGGCAGGTCAGGCAGTGTTAGGTTTATGGAGTCTCAGAGAGAGCACCAGCTTGCCAGCTCTGTGGGGGGAGGGTGTAAAAACGGGACAATGGCCTCTGCTCGCCTTGCTGCCAGACACTTTTTCTCCCTCTATAACCACTGGTGCCTTTAAAGCTGCTGTACCCCTGTGCTGGAGCTCAGAGGGAGTGAGTCCAAGTAGGTGATTCCATGTGTGAGTTCTTTAAGAGGAACTGCTTGGGGCTCCAGCAGTTTTCTACCCACTCAATCCCTGCTGGTTTTTGCAGCCAGAAGTTGTAGGGACTTAATCTTCCTGGCACTGGAACCCTGGGTTGGGGTCCTGGTGTGGAGTTGGGACTCCTCACTCTCAAGATATCCCTCCTGAATTTTTATGCACCACATGTGGGTGAGGGACCGGCCTATTATGCATCTGCACCCCTCCTACCAGTCTGGGTGGTTTCTTCCATTCGGTAGTTGTCAGACTTCCATTCAACTCGATGTCTGATGGTTCAGAGTGATCGTTTTATATTTTAGTTGTAATTTTGATGTGGTTGTGTGAAGAGGCAAGCCATGTCTGCCTATGCCTCTATCTTGACTGGAAGTCCAGAAAAATTGTTTTCATGCTAGAATAAATACAGATAAAACACAGATAAAGACTATTGATGAATTATTAAGATAAGACGGGAAATTAAAAGAATTTTAGACTGTGGCTTGCCTCTATACCTCCTGAGGAACCATTTTCTTGGTTTTCTGAAGGAACACTTTGTGAAGAACACTGCTTTCTCTGTTGGCTTCAATTAATATGGGCAAAATGCTAAGTAGCTTTAGGTTATAGGTTGAGTCTTCATGTGAGCTGATTTGATCACAGCAGTAAAGAGGTGAACCTTTGTTATGAGAGGAACTAGGTGAGTATGTGTGTAGTTACTTGAATTGTGATTAGTGGAGTCATTTTAATTCGTATATGCCTTTAGATTTTCCTTCTAAATTTGATCATGTGATAATATGTTTAATGATCTGGGATTATAATAGATTTGTATTTGGCTTACACTTTTTCCTCTTTTTTTTTTTTTTTAGTGGTGGGGTCATGATCTATATTGACCGAATAGAAGTGGTTAATATGTTGGCTCCTTATGCAGGTATAGTACCAATCTTCTGTTGTTTTTACAGTTATAATCAGAGTACTTATAACTGAGAGATTCCCCAAGGAATAAAAAGGTACTTTTAAAGTTTTATGACCTCATTTATTTCTGATATGTCTAAAAAAAAAAATCATTGGAATATTTTCCATTTCTAGGGAATGATGGTAGAAGTAGGTCACAGGTCCTGGCCAGAGTTGACTTTGTGTAACTATATGGGTTACTGTTTGTTATTAAAAGAGCAACACCGTCTAGAATTTCTTGAAAGTAGATTTTATCCAGTCAGGATGAGAGAGAATTTCCATGCATGCTAAAAATCTGTAACCGATCAGTTCCTGGGCCATATTTGTTTGTGACCATAGAAAAATCTTTTCTGGTGTAGATTTACTATAGCTTGCAAAGCAGTCTGAAAGTCCTCAGTGCGGGGAAAACATTTTCTTGGTAAAAGATGAAAACCCACAGAGACAGAGTGGGTACTGTTAGAAAACTTAATTAGTTCTAAAGAAAATCTGCCTTCTTGTTATTTGTTTGATTCCTCCCCCCATTTTTCCTGTGGCAAAATACACATAACATAAATCATCTTAGCCATTTGTTAAATGTGCAGTTCAGTGGTATTTAAATATTCACACTGTTAGCAACTGTCACCAACTCCACCTTCATAACTCTTCATCTTGCAAAACTGAAACCCTATACCCACTGAACAATAACTCCCCATTTCCCCTTCTCTCCAGCCACTGGCAACTATCATTCTGCTTTCTGTCTCTGGTTCTAACTGCTCTAAGTCCCTCGTATAAGTGGAATCATATAGTATTTGTCTTTTTGTGACTGGCTTATTTCATTTAGCGTAATGTTCTCGAGGTTCATCCATGTTGTAGCGTATGTCAGAAAGTCCTTCGTGTTTAAGGCTGAATAATATATTCCATTGTCTGTATATACCACATTTTGTTTATCCATTCATCCATCAGTGGACACTTGGAATGCCTCCACATTTTAGCTCTTGTGAATAATGCCACTATGAACATGGGTGTATGTGGACCTCTTCAAGACCCTGTGTTTACCATTTTATCTTTATCCTTATTAGAATTGGCATGCCTAGCAAGGGTGTCCAGCCTTCTGGTGTCCCTGGGCCACACTGGAAGAATTGTTGGGCCACAGATTAAGTATACAAACACTAACGAAAACTGATGAGCAAAAAAAAAAAATGTTTTAAGTAAATTTATGATTTTGTGTTGGGCCACATTCATAGCCATTCTGGGCCACACAGGGGCCACGAGTTGGACACCCCTGCAGCTTAAGGAGTTTTTATTTTACTTAAGATGTGATACCAAATATATATTGGAACGTAAGGTCATGCTAAATTTCACATCACAGGAACAGACACACATAGCAAAAGGATTTCAGAGCAGAGAGCAAGCTCTGTTACAGCCAAGTGGATTTGAATTATATTTTTCAGTGATTATTTCCTTTGTCTTTCTTCATCCACTTCCCATGGTAACAAATCGGTGGAATGGATTATGATTGGAAAAATAGAAAAAGGGAAGATAGCATTCTGTAGCCAGAGATAAAGAAGAAACTACTGATCACCAATTTATTTGGAAATGACCAAGCAAATGAATTAGCAAGTATTTATTGATGTCCCATCTATCAAAGGAAGGCCAGTGGAGAAAATCCTTGGGTCTGAAGGGAGAAAGCAGCATGTTGTTGTTTTTTGACTTTTTACTTTTCAATTACACCTAATATGCAATATTAGTTCCAGGTTTACAACCCAGTGATCAGACAGGTATATAAGTTACAAAATGATCACCTTAATAAATCTACTGCCCATTGATACCATACACATTATTGTTATTTCAGTATTATTGACTACATTCCCTGCCCTGTACTTTATACCCCACTATCTGTAACTGCCAAGTTGTACTTCTGAATCCCTTCACCTTTTTTCAACCATCCTCCTAACCTCCACATTTGAATAGGTAAAGCACAGGGTCTGGTATGGTCTAGCATGTGCCCTTAGGCACACTTCTGAAATTGGGTGTTTCTCAGTTTCCTCATTTAGATTTTTTGGTGAGAATTAAATGCTGATGTGTGTAAATTGCCTGACATAAAGCCTGGCCCAAAAAATGTTAGCTTCTTTCCCTTTTAGCCTGGTGTCTTTTTTAACAGCCTTTAAAAACTGCCTTTTTGAAAATGGTCTTTTGCAACCACTTCCTTCCTTTATTCCCACTGATCCTCAATTAGTTCAGGACCTTTTTACCTCTTAGCTAAACTTTTGCTTTGCAGTACAGTGGAACCTCCGTTCTCGAACTTAATTCATTCCAGAAGGTGATTCAGAAGCCATTTGTTTGAAAACCAAATCTCCTTTGTTTGTCACCTGGGAGACGCGTGACTGATCATACAGATACCAGCATGAAAGGGTTGTCAGGTCGAGAACCGAAGTTTTGTCCGACAACAGAGACATTTTTTCTGTGAACAACTTGGTCAAGATCTGAATTGTTTAAGGTGTGAGACGTTCAAGAACCGAGGTTTGACTGTAATTGCTTTACACATTCCTGTTTCTGGTCTTTGTGCCTCACATCTCATCTCCTACTTCTGCCAAAGTACAAACCTGATTATGTCATGCCCTTGCTTGAAAACTTAGTTCCTTACTACCTACAAGATATGTGTACTCTTCCTAGCATGGAATTCAGAGTTTGCCTATTAGAATTACAAGTGCAATATCTGAAAAATTGAGCACAAAGAACATACTGAGGTTTTTTTAATGTGTTTCATGTTTTCGCTGCTTTGTTGGCACTTTTCTGCATGTATATTATATCAGCATAACATTTACCTTGGCTGAATTAGAAAATACATAGGTAAACGTGGATTGTACCTCTCCTTCAGTGTTTGATATCGTGAGGAACTACACTGCAGATTATGACAAGACCTTAATCTTCAATAAAATTCATCATGAACTGAACCAGTTTTGCAGCGCCCACACACTTCAAGAAGTTTATATTGAATTGTTCGGTCAGTGTCCTACTTGTTTTAAATATGTAAATAACCAATTGGAAATCTTGTTCAACTCATTTATGGATGCTATAATACATTAGTAAGCATTATGCTATTAGAACATTTTTATCGAATTTTTAATAGCGCAATTGTCTTTAAAATATTCTTTATCTTAAGCTTAAATTTCTTATGATTAAATCAAGTAGTTATTCAGACAAGATATTTTAAGAATGATAACCATTTTCTGAAATGCATGATATGTAACTTAGTGGAGATTGGAAAGAGATCATTACTTACAGACTATATTGTTTTTACCATGATAACTTACTAAAAATTAGCTTTGTTGCTATTTTAATAGATAATTTGGGGAAATTTAGAAGTCTGTGTCTTGGAGTTTCCCAAGACCCACCTCCATGTTTGATGATTTGCTAAGAGGACTCACAGGACTCCATGTATAGTTGTACTCACAGCTGAGCTGTATTACAGCAAAAGGATGCAACGCAAAATCAGCAAAAGGAAAAGGCACATGGGTGAGGTCTGAAGGAAACCAGGCACAAGCTTTCAGGAGTATTCCCCAGTAGAGTCAAGCAGGAGACACTTAATTAGTTCAGCATTGAATTGTGACAACATCGTCTACTACTTAGGGAAGCTCATTACACTCACTGCCTAGGATTTTCACTGGGGGCCAGTCCATGTAGGCACCCTCTGCCTGGTACATAAAAAAATTCCAGACTCCCAGAAGGCAAGCAGGCATTTGGCATAAACCATATGGTTTGTATAGACAGTGTAGGCACAGTCAGTTGTTATTATCAGTTCTGGGGTTTGTGGGAACCCTCTCAGTATCCAAATTCCCAGGTGACAAGCCAAGGGTTAACTTGCAAACAGGCCTTTCTAAGGATGGCCGCTTCAGGCTTCCTGTGTTTACTCTTTTTCTGCACAATTTACTTCTCATTTGTAATAGTGAAAGCTCTGACCTGGGATTAGGTTGTTGCTGTTGGCTGCTCACTTCTTCCTGGAATTCTTAGTGAATTTCTTAGAGGCAGGCATAGGGATGGTTAATCAGTTTAGAAATCTACGGTTGATTCCTCATTGATGATTGACAACTATCGAGATGGTGTATGAGAAAACTTAGCTGTCCTGATTTGTCATGTCACCCGTCTTTTTAATAATGGTGCAAGTATTGTTGAGGTGGATCGAAAAATTAATGAATTATAAGGCCAAGTAAAGTGACATTTTTATTGTTCATTCTTGTGTGCTTTGAAGACTTTCCTGTGAGCTTCCCTCCCCGCATCCTCTCTATTTTTAAGTCCAAAATAATAAGCAGAGGTCCATGGAAATGAAATTTAGTTATTTAGGGGTTTGGGGGTAAAGACTGACTGAAGATAGGAGTTTTTGTTTTGTTTTTAAATGAGAATCATGACACATGAAATAATAATACTGAATTGGTATTAGAGACTTCGATTCTCCGTTTATTGGATCAACTTAATTTCTTTGATAATTCCTCATACTTTCTCCCACACAACAGGGAAACTAAATAGGTATATATAACATACGTATATTTGTTTTCATATATATGTGAAGCTCTATAAAAGAATAGTACCATAGAAATTTTAGGTCTGACAACAACTGGTTTTGTTTCAGTATTAATACAGTGTAAAAAGTTTTTTCAAGTGTCCTGAAAGCTGTTGTTTTGGCTTCAAAAACAGATCAAATAGATGAAAACCTGAAGCAAGCTCTGCAGAAAGACTTAAACATCATGGCACCCGGCCTCACTATACAGGTAAGCCTTTTTCCTAGAGAATTTCTCTGGGAATTTTGAGAGCTTTGAGTTTAATTGCCCTTTCACCAGATATTTTATTCAACAGCTATTTAATTGAAGTGCTATGGTGATTTATAGAATACCTTTCTCAGTTTGACTTTTAAGTCTCTGCCAAAATAAAATACACTTATAGCTTATCATGAACTCTTACAGGGAACAGATAAGCTTTTATTTCCTCTCATAAGGAAATAAAATCCACATACTGTTATGTATAAGGCATTACTAAGATACAGTAATGGTTATATATCAGTATAAGAGTATTCCTTGCCCTCAGTAAGATTATGGAAAAGGATTTCAAGTATAAGATTTGAACAATAATTCAAGACAAAAGAAATGTCCTGAAGTATTAATTGACAAATTGGATGATTATTACTATAAGAGATTAGAATTAGAGAACATTTCAAGAGAATCAGTCTAGAACAACTATGATTGATTTGGGATTTTAGGTAGGTCTGGAATTAATAGGATTTATATGGAGGCAAGGAGTACAGAATGTATTTGAAGTGGATGGGGTGGCCTGAGTAAAAGCAAGATAGCAAACAATGGTGGTGGTGGGGGCGGTAGCATCGGGAGATAGAATGGTGAGAGATGCCTGCATTTTGGGGTCAATATTTTTTTCAAATTGGATTGAAATCCATTAGTGGATTCTAAAATCAGTTTTAGTGGGTCATGACAAGCATTTTAAATAAAATGGAATTGAATAGGAAGTTAGTACATGCCATGTAGTAAGTTTAAGTATCATTCTGTGAAATTTTTGTTTTATGTTAACACGTGGGTAGGTGTTTATATTGGATGTCACTGTAAAATCTGTTTCTTCCTGTGGTTATGGTAAGTAACATTTGAAAGCCATGGCTTCTCCAGTGTTATTTCTCAGTTTCCCATGGTGGTGAACATTACTGCAGCTAAAGATAAAGCTCTTTGGTGTCACATGTCTCAGCTGTCACATTGCTACTGAAAGTGTGCCTTCACTGTAAGTGATTTATGTTATTTCATAAACAAGACTGGAAAGAAAAGACTAGGGTTTTTCCTGTCATCATTCATATTGTGCCATTATCTCTGATAGGTGCCTTAGGGGGAGCCACCAAAGTTGAGGGGCCATTTGAAATATGTTCAGAACAAACTTTGTGAAATTCTCTTGGTTGTACATTCAGTTGTGGACGGCGTAGCTTTTCAAGTTTAAAGATAATAAATGTTAATGTCATAGATTCTTGGATTCTGCCAGGTTGGAGCTGTAGCTCATTTTTTTAACAGCTGCCAAGAATCCCTTGCCTTTTATGTAACCTTTTGCCTATCGTTTCCTTTTTTTTTTTTTGCTGTTAGTAAGCAGTAATATAGTTAACATTCCTGACATATCTCCTTGTATGTACAAATTATCTTTCTAAGTGGCTGTACAAATTTACATTCTTACCAGCGGTATGTGTGAATACTTATTTCTCTACAACCTCACCAATATTTGAAGCAATCAGACATGTTAATTTTTGCTAAATGGATAGGTATGACTTTCTCTCTCTCTTTGATTTGCATTTTCTTAATTATTAATGAGGTTGAGCCTTTTTTACTTGCCCCTTTCCATTACTTGTTCATATTCCTTGCCCATTTATCTGTTGGATTTTTTTCTTACTAATTTTTAATACTTTGTATATTATGGGTTTTTTACATACATGTTATAAAAAATTAGATACTAGGAAGAAGATGAATAACAGTGAAGTTAAACAGTAATCTTAACATGTTTGTTTATAAATAATGTTACAATGTTAAACTAAAGTGGAATCATGCCATAGACTCTTTTTTCATTAACAGTATGTGAGCATATAAGCATCTTTTCAAGCAAAAATATAGATTTGCTGCATTATCACTTTTAATGGTTTTATTTAATCTCTATGGCTTCCAATTTTTATGATTATATACATGTTGCAATGAGCAAGCTTATTATAAACACATCTTTTAAAATCCTTCCCTTAGGATAAATTCTTAAATGTAGGGTTGATAGGTCAAAATGTGTCCCCATTTGGGGGCTTTTTGATACATATTGCCAAATTGCCTTTCAGAAAAACTTCAGCAGCTTATACTCTTCCATCAGTAGTGTTGGTGAGGTGGTTTCCTGCACATTTGATTGTGTGATTGGACCCAAATAATTAGGTGATACATGCCTGCTTTCTTAATCATTTTGGAGAAAATTAATCTGGTTTTGTATTAATTACTGAGGTTGAATACCTAGGCTATTTACTGGCCATTTGTATTTCATTTGTGAATTATTATGTTTGCTCATTTTTTACTTTTTGACCTGTTTTTGTTCCTTGATTTAAATAAGCTATTTTTAGTTAATTTTCTCAGTTCTTTTAAATGCATAGGAAACTTTTCTTTATATAATAATTTTAGTATTTTTTTCCTTATGGTGTTTTGGTCTGCTGGCATGCTTTCAGAAACTTTCACTACTTTTAAAATACAGAAATTATATTTTTCATTACTTTTACAGTTGTATTTTTAGCTTTAAATCATGAATTTGTCTGTAACCCATTTTAATGTCAATTGTGAGGTAGAGCTCCAATCACCCCATCGCTGATTGGTTACCACGGATTTGGTAACAACAGTAATTCTGAGTAATTTATGCTTCAGTCTCCCCTGTGTTTGAAAAATGCCTTTGTATTGTAATGCTAAATTCCATTATATAATTGGTTTTTCAGGATTTTGTTCAGTTAATCTTTCTTTTTTCTATCCTTTGATTAGTTTTTGAGCGCTTGGTCTTTTCCTATCAAATCTACTTACCTCCTGTTCTTTTCCTTCTTGTTAGTAAATGACACCTTCTTCCCCTAAAACCAATCTAGATGTGGGGTAGGCATTTTTGACCCTCTTATCCTAACACCTGATTGGTCCCCACCTCCGACCACAGAAATTGATTTAACACTGTTCACAGCTCCATCTTCACTGCCCCCTCCTTAAGCGAAGCCACAGTCTCTTGGACTCCTACACTAATCTATTCTATTTCCACACTTTCACTTTTACTCTTGTCCATGTCATTTTTTGCATAGCAGCAAGAAGGATCTTTGAAAGTTAGTTATTTATATTTGTTTATATAAAAAGTTATTTGGTGAGAAAAATGTCACTTTATAATATATTTTTAAACTGATCAAAATCTTCATAGTTTTGCTTTAGTCTTGTTATACTTTCTTATGATAGTTAGAATGCATTTCTAGAACTTTTTTTAAACCTTCCTATTTTTAGCACTTTTACTATATGATTATGATAATACAATGTTTCATTCACCTTTAAAATCCAGTAAGTTACGTTATCTTTTAAAACTAATGGTTGTTGATATTTCAGCCAGATGAATTTTCATTATTGATATTTTTAAGTTGTATCAGGTACCTCAACTAGTATGTAAGTTTGAAAATTGAGAACGTAATTGGCTTTACTTAATCACATCATTTTTGTTTCTTTTAGAATTTCTTGACCTAGATGAGAAACTCCTATCCCAAATTAAAGAGTTTCAATGCTGTTAAATATGTAGTCTTTTTTTTAAGCACTAAGGTATACAGATGAGTCTTGGTGAATTTATTGTGTATCTACAAGTTTGCTAAATTCTTTGTCTCCAGTAATTTTTTGGTTAATTTCCTTAGTGGGAGCGTGTGTATGTGTGTGTTAAAAACATTTAACATGATATCTGTCGTCTTAAGTTAAGTGTACAGTACCTTATTAATGACTAGGTAAAATGTTGTACAGCAGACCACGGGAGCTATTTATCTTGCTTGACTGAAACTTTGTGAATTTTCTTAGATTTTTTTTTTTAGTTATATAATTACGCCAAAATAAAAATCTTGATTTCTCCTTCCACAGCCTAGTATTTCCTAGTCTCCAAATCATCCTATTTTTAATTCTTCACATAATACTTAGAAATATCTGAAATTTTAGTTTGCTTTTTATTGTCTGATGTGTTTTCTCCCTCTTAAATTTTAAATTCCGTGACGGCAGTCTTGCCTTGTTCGTTGATGTATCCACAGTGCCTAGACCAAACAGCACCTGGCACAGACTAGGCACCAATTAATATGTGTTGTTAAATGAATAATCTCTATAACAATCAGTGTTTTAATTTTTCTCTTCTCTATATCTATACGCAGTTTTTCTTGAACAACTACTATGGCAAATTAAAGGGGTGAAAATAGGCTTTCTTGATATTTTTTTCCAGTGTTATTTAGGGGAGTGACTGTATTAGCTGCTGACTTTTGGTTTAAAGCATGTTTATACCTCAAGGGTCAGTTTCACCAGATAACTTTATTTCAGCAGGTTTTTTCTCCTTTCTCCAGTCACTGTGTGTGTATGTGTGTGTGTTCATTTGGGTCATCGTTTTTGAATATTTTTTTATTTCTTAAATCTCTTATGACACAACTTATTCATGTATCTGTTCCAGGTATTTGTAACTTCACATATTTGAAAATTATGAGATTTCCCAAGATTGGCAAGCATGTAGTGTGTTCTTCAGCCTCATACAGCAAGATAGAAGTCTTTACAAAGCCGTTCTATTTTATGCTTCTTTTTATAAGACTAAAAAAGATAGATGGCTAGTTCCTTAAATGCAACATGACAGTGCTTTCCTTTGAGTCATATTAAAAGGTATTGGAAGTCATCTGTATTTCCAGTAGTCACATGGTGAAATCTGGCATGGCTCACAAATTCTCATTCTGAAAATTTGTCTTGGATATCTCCACAAGTTGTTCTTTATGGCCTCACATACCTCGCCTTCGGGGTGTAATGAGTTTTCCCCTCAGAGTCCCCGGTTTCTTAGTCCATGTCATTCTGATATCTTTTATTTATTGTAGTTATGACAGTCCTCAAAATTATGTACAGGTTTGCTCTTTTTCATGTAGGGAAGGCTGTGTTTCTTAAACCTTTTTAAGTCTTTTTTCAAATGCCTTCCTTAAAAGAAGGGTGGTGTTTAAAGTCTTAGTTGCTTAAAAGTGTAGCCAATTTTCAGAGGAAAATTAATTTTCTTTAGGCCAACAAAGTATTTTGTGTATGTTTGCAGTGTAGGAGTGGAGTGAGGGATGTTTAACTAGTAAAATCAAAAGGTTTTGAGAGATCAAGTCCTTGATGTAGAAAAAAGTCAGCCTTCAAAAAACTGCACTTTCCAAGTAGACGACATAGTTACTGCAAAGTTCACTGGTTAGGGGAACAAAGTTCCTAGTAAATATTGTATAGAAAGGGAAGTAGACTTTGTTCCAAGTGAGATTCTAGAAAGAATGCAAGCTCTTAGTTGATACTTCTGTCTTTGGCTGTTTGTTTGTCGCCAGTTCTGAGTGATTGCCGACTTAAAAAGTGGAAAATTCATTTAGTGCTCACTATGTTAAGTTGCTTATAAGACCTGGGTTTTTGTTTTTGACGGTTTTATATGTGACAAATTGAATCTTGGAATTTTATCTTCCTTTTATTTCTTGGTTTGCAGATTGCAAAAGGAAACAAAAGTATCCAACTAAAGAGCTCTGTGAAAGGTTTTAGAGGGAGAGCTATTTCCCTAAAAGGAGTTTACTGCCTCAACTGGTAGAGTGGTTTTTCCTGTGGTCAGGCTGCTTTTGTTTTTTAGGAAACAAGAAGCAGCTTTTCCTTGATTATTGGTGTGATGGCTGAAAAGTAGATTTTCTCATGGGATCCCCACAGGTGTTAGGAGGTAGCGCTATCATAGTTGTTAGTTTCATTTGAGGAGCTCTTCTGTAGAAGATTTAGTCTGAAGATTTATTTTTTCAAATATACTTTGGCTTTTTCACTTTTATTTTTTAGGCTGTGCGTGTTACAAAACCCAAAATCCCAGAAGCCATAAGAAGAAATTTTGAGTTAATGTGAGTAATATGCATGGGATCCCAATATTCTATTTAGGGCTGTCTGCATAGTAATATACCAGTCTAGGGGAAACATGTGTATTATTCTCTTCCATACTTTAATTCTAGTAATATTGCCTATTCTAGTGTTGTAATTCCCACTAGATTCTTGCAGTTTTCTCTTTATATACGGACATTTCAGGAGCAGCTTCAGTGGCCAAGGATGCAGTTTACTGTAGAACTCTTGTTGGAAGCCTAAGGAGTTATAATTTCGTTTTCAATAATACCTTGAATTAAATGCTAATAGAGGAGAGAAAGAGTTCTAGCTATTAAGGTTTAAGAGAGTGCCTGTATTTTGTTACAGTGTTATAATGGTAAGAATAGACTCCTTATTGGTATAACATCTAGTTTGTATGTGATTGTGTATCTAAATTTTAGATCTGGGTCTTTACAATTTTCCTTTGGAGAAGCTTTTCCTGGGTTACTCCTGGTAGTCTTCTCTTTATGTGTCCAGGGCCGACTGGATACGAGAAATTACTTGCTTGACATGTTTCTAAGTGCTTTGGAAGATCCCATGTAGGAGAATACCTACTACAGTTACAAATGGCAATATTATTCTCATATGACAGACTGAGAAGAAACTAAAGCCTTTAGGAAATTTGATTGACATGTTAAGAGGAAAAATAGGAAATGCTAGAAAGGTAACTTTGCAATAGTCAAGAATACAACAGATGTAATGTCTAAATACAAGGGGTAGAAGATGTAATAATACTTCATGGAGTGATATACTTCTGAGTCCTAATGTTCCCAAGTCTGTATCTTCTATTATGCAGAGTTTTATTTCCATTTTTTTCATTGCAAGAAAGGAACTCTTTAAAACTTAAGCGCAGAGTGTCAGACTGAATAGATCATGGGTCTGATCCATTTATAGAAAAAGTATTTATTGAAGGCTAAGTATGGTCTTAGGCTTTCTATGTCATGGCTTCTGGTGATGGAAAGATGAATGCTATGTGTTCTCTGCCCTCAAATTCCTATGCATATCCAGAATGTCATTTCATGTCTTTATCAGTGTTGGAAGGAGGGAAGGGGGGAGAGAGCTTTCAGTAAATGTTTTGGGGAAACCATTGGAGGTACTTTTCAGATAATTCTGGATCCGTCCTAGTTTTATATACTACTGGATTTCCAGAATTGAAGCCACTTTGGGATCATCCAGTCTAACCTGCCCTGTGGTCACCCCGTCACCACGTGTGCGTGCTTGGTGATAGGCCAGTTCTTTCCATGATTAGAAAGCTCAGACTCTGGGCTAATGGAAAGCACATTTTTTTCTTACATTGAGCTCCAGTTTATCGCCTAGTAAACTGCCATCTAGTTACATCTTCTGTACAGCAAATAAGGCCGCTGCACAAGGATGTCTGCGTGAGGAGGGGCTGAAATCTAGCTCCGTTCTCCCTTTCAAACCATACGCCTGTGGGACTGCATCTGCCCAGAGGTTGATGCCTTTTGCTAATTGGCCCGGAGGTACTGTGTGGACTAGCAGGAGGCCTAACAGCAAAGGAAGCATTGTATACTCCAGATACTTCGATATACTCCAGATACTTCCAAGTCCCGGGCCTTTCCATGATACAGTTAGAGGAAGAGTTCAGATTAAAAGTCACATGCACTAAATTTAATTCCTATCTCCAGGTGACTTTGGGCAAATCGTATAACCTTTCAACCTCAGATTCATTACATGCATCATAGAGTATCACCCCTCTTGCCTACTTCCTGGGTCAAAAAGTTCTTTTTGAGGACGCCGTACAGAGTCAGTATTAAGTACCTATGACTGCACATCATTTCTCATTTTTATAATACTTTGTCCACAGGGAGGCTGAGAAGACAAAACTTCTTATAGCTACCCAGAAACAGAAGGTGGTGGAGAAAGAAGCTGAGACAGAGAGGAAAAAGGCTATTATAGGTACTTGGATTTCTTTCTGAAATGATTGTCTCTAAGTACTTGTATTGTGAATTTGCCCTCTTCTTTGTCAGCTTCATGTTAGGACTTATATGAACTTGCATCATATATAGTTTAGGACTTACTAGGACTTAAATGAAATTGCATCATATATAGTTTAGAATTCTGGAAACTTCTTTATACAGTCAGATGTCCTAAACCCTTTCAAAGCAGATGAGGCCAGTGCTTAGGTGTTTTGGCTCTGCACCATGTTGTGGTCTTTCTTAAGGACAGGGAAAGTGGGCAGGGTTTGGGGGCAGCTTTAGTCTCTGTGGAGTAGCGCTATTGTTTAGACAAATTAAGAATAGGGAAGTTTTGAGCAAAAGCTCAAGATTATAGTATGATTCTTTGCTGTTGACATGCACCTTGTTTTATCTGGGTAAATAAATATAACAATCGAAAGCAGCAGAGTTGCTTACAGCTCATTTTGAATCAGTGACTTCCCCTAACACTCCACGGTACTGTGGACTTTTGGACTGCCATCTTAGGCTCCCAGTTTTTTGTTGTTTGGATGCTGAAAGTTTAAGGAGTTTTTCATTAAATATTTCAAATATACAGAATATACTGAGAACAGTTTAAGGAAGGCTTAAGTTTTTGCCATATTTCCTTCAGATCATACTTGCTTTAAGAAAAAATGTATCTATTTGAAGCCTGTGAAATGTCCTTTGTACCCTTCCCTGGTCTGTCCTTTCAGAGCAGCTTTTATTCTGAAGTTTATATTTCTGCCCATATTTTTATACTTTCACTGTGTAAGTATGCAATCAACAATTCACACATTGTTTTAAAGTTCATTTTTTAACTAGTGAGTATTTTCTTCTGTGAGTGAGCCTGTATTTATTCTGATGGAGCACTAATGAACAGTTACGTAGTTTCTGGTTTTTCCTTACCACAAAGAGCGCTGCAGCGACGCCCTCTGCAGGTCTCTGCACACACGCAGTTGCCCTGGAGTAGTGTTACTCACCGCGTGGTGTGGGTCAGTGCCCAGTGCCCTGTCACCAGCTTTTTGTTTCTGATCCACAGTGAGATGAGCACAGAAATGGAGAATGGGTGTTCGGAAGTTCTTACGGACATTTTCCTTTTTTTTTTTTTTTAATGTCGAATCTAATAAAAAATTGGAGCTTGTGTTTTTAAAATTGGAGCAGACTTTTTAAAATTTATGCCAGTTTGATGGTGGGCATTGTGTCACCTAATTTCAGTTGAATTTCCCTCACTACTCTGAAGTTGAATGTTGTTTATTGGTCTTTGCAGGTTTCCTTTTTCTTGTAGTATGTTAATTGCCTGTTAATATCATTAGTCCATTATTTGATTCCTTTTTTGAACTGATAGTAGAAGTTTTCTGTATCTTCTGGATATTAATCCTTTCCCAGGTTTAGGCACCGCAAGTATCTTTTCTCAACTTGTGGCTTATCTTTGAACTTTATGTTTTACACACACACACACGCACACACACACACACACACACACACACACACACAAAATTTATAATTTAATTTTCAGGTAATCAGGTTCATCAATTTTTTCCTTTCTGGTATGTGCTTTTCTTATCTTGTTTAAGAATTCTTTCTCAACCCCAAAGTAATGAGTTTATTGTAAAAGTCTTATCGTTTTGCTTTTCCTCTTTAAGTCTTGAATCTATCTGTACTTGATTTCAGTGTTTAGTGTGACATAGGAATTCAGTGTTATTTTTTCAAATAGTAAGCCAGTTGGTTTTAGACTATTTATTAAACAGTTCATCATTTCCTCTCCTTTTTTAAATTTTTTATTTATTGATTACAAAGCAGAACAGGGCGGGGGGCAGGTTTGTTGTTCTACTTATTTACGCATTCATTGATTGCTCCTTGTATGTGCCCTGACCTGAGATCAAACCTGCAACCTTGGCATATCGGGAAGACACTAAGCAGCTGAGCTTCCCCGGGGCATTTCCTCTACTTAACTTCTAATGCCATGTTGGTTACATGATAAGATCCTATGTATGATTTGTGCTGTTGCTCTGGTCTCTATTTAGTTTCAATTTCTTGGGCTGTCTTTCTCCAGTATTATCTTGTTTTAATTATCGTAGCTATTCTGTTAAATTAAGTCTTACTATCTGGGAGAGCAAGTTCCTCCTTAACTATTTACCTGAACTGTTCCTAACTATTCCTAAAATTGGCTTGAACTTTCCTGGGCTCTTTATTCTTCCATGTGCATTTTAGAATCTATAAAATGCGGGTGGTACTGAGCTTTCAATTGGAATTTCATTACCCTATGTACACCACTTTGTAGAGAATTACAATGTTGATGCTATTGAGTCTTATAAATCTGTTATATTTCTCCATTTATGAGAAATGTCTTTCCAAAAAGTGTCATCATTTTCTCTTAAAATTCTTGGATATTTTTTGATAGAGAGTGATTTCTATATACTTACTACCTTTTTGCTATTATAATACACTCCTTTTTTAAAGATACTTTTTCCTAACTTTTTGCTTTTGTATAGGAATGCTGTTGATTTTTTTTTACTTAGCAGTCATACTCAGAATGCTATTTCTCATAGTCTGTTGGGTTTCCCATGCGAGCAATCATGTTGTCTTCAGATCAATCCTGTTTTTCTCTTTGTAGTCCCACACTTTTTAGTTCTATCTTACTACTTTAGGCTGTGCCTTGTTGAAAAGAAAGGTGGTGATAGGCAGTCTTGTCTTGGTCCTAACTTTACACAGTTCCACTGGTGTTGGCTGTACTTAACTTCTGTTGGGTTAATGAAGTTTCCTTCTGCCTTTGCTTGCCAAGAGATTTTATCATGACTGGCTGTTAACACTTTTACAGTGTTTTTCTATAGTTGTTGAAATGACCATATGCTTTTTCTTCTCAAAGCTGCTAACATGGTGAATTATATTAATAGATTTCCTATTACTGGATTATTTTGTCACCCTGGGATAAACCCATTTGGTCATAATGTAGAACATTCACCCCAGTACGTTTGTCTATATAGTTTGTGATTTCCGTAACATGTTTACTTTGATTTTCATAAATGAGATCAGCTTATAATTTTTTTCCCTTCTATTCTTAATGTCAGGGGTATTTTTGTTTTTGTTTTGTTTTTTGTATCATGCTTACACTAGCCTCAAAATGAGTTGCAGGACATTTCTTTTCTAGAGCATTTTGTATAAAATACGTACTGTCTCCTTTTTGTAGAGTTGGGGGAACTCACTCATAGAAACGATCATGGTCTAGTGGGGTTTGTGCTTTTTTGTGTGCTTGTTTCTTGTGGTGATAGTTAACCTACTGGTGCAGCTTCTTTATTGCATATATGTCTGTTCAGGTATTGGTTTCTTTTTAAGTCAGTTTTGATAGTATGTTTTTTTTTTTTTTTTTTTTTTAGAAAATTGTCTTTTTCATCTGCTATTGTAAATCTGAGGACGTACATTTATAGGACTCTTTTTATTTTTAAAATCCTCTGCCAAATCTTATATGCTCCCCTTTTATGTTTAATGATGTTTTATTCGTGCCTTGTTTTCCTTAATCAGTTTTGACAGAGGCCTGTCTTATTTATTCATCTTTTCAGAGACCTAGATTTTAATTTAGTGGATTTTCTTGTCACTTTCTTTTCAATTATATTATTTATACTTAGGTTTATTATTTCTTCCCTTCTACCTTTTTTGGGGTTACTTACTGGTTCTTTTATAACTTCTTGAGTTACTTAATTCCTTAGTTGCAGTCCTTTCTACTGGAAAAATCTAAGATTATATATTTTCTTCTAAGTTCTGCTTTATGTATATCTGAAGTTTTTAAAAACATTTCCATTATGATTTCTTCTTTGACTCATGAATTACTAAAAGTATGTTTTTGATTTCTAATTGAGTGAGTTTTGAGGGGGCTATCTTTTTAGTGTTGATTTCCATTGCTATTGCATTATAGTCAAAAAACATGATCTGTTATATAGATTTCTAAGTATTTGTTGAAATTTGCTTTGTGGCCTGTCAATACATGATCCTCTTTTAGTAAATGTTCTGTGTGTTTTAAAAGATTGTATAGCCTCTATATGTTGAATGCAGGTTTCTCTATATACCCATTAGTTCTGGCTGGTGGTGCTCACATCTTCTGTATTCTAACTTTTGCCACCTTGGTCTGTCAATTACTGAGAGAGGTGTTTTAAAATTTCCCACTAGGACCATGAACTTGTTAATGTATATATTTTTTTCTTGCTGTATTTTGGGGCTATATCATTTAGAGCATTCAGGTTTAGTATTGTTTCATCTCCCTGGAAAATTTTACCTGTTATGTACTAACCCTCTTTATCTCAGACATGCTTTTTGGCTTAAGGTCTGTTTTGTCTGATGATAATATAGCTCTGCCAGATTTCTCTTGATTAGTTATTTTCTTGATGTATCTTTTCACATCCTTTTACTTTCAACTTTTCTATATCATTATGTTTTAGGTGTGTCTCTTGTAAACAGCATATAGCTGGATTTTGTTATCTTATCCAATGTGAGAATCTGTCTTTTAACTGGTGAGTTTAGTCTTTTTATATTTATTGTGGTTACTGCTATATTTGGATTTGTTTATATCATTAATTTTGTGCTATTTACCATGCATCTTTTTCTCTGCTTATTTTTTCCTCTTTTGTGATTGGTATGGAATTGAATGAATTGTCTTTATTCTTTTACTTGATTGAAAGTTTTTCTTTCAGTTTGTAGAATGTATAACTAGTCATGACCTGTAAAACATTAACAAGCATACCTGACTTGACAAAGTCTAAAGTTAATCATCCTTTCTGTCTTCTTCTTGAGCAATACCTTAGAATGCTTTAAGTGTCCTCCAATTTTTCATATTATTGTTGTCTACTATTTTAGTTTCATGTTTTTATTTTCCCATTGATCCCTATAGTAAACATTTATTTTGATTTACATGTATTATGTAATTCTTTTCTTCTCCATTGTTTCTGGAAATTAATTTTTTTTCCTGCTAGTTTTTTCATTAAAGGCTAAGGAGTGGAAACTTACCAGTCTTCCTTGATCTGAAATGCGTTTGTTTCATTCTTAAATGTAATTTAGCCTACAGTTCTAAGCCCAACTAAATTTATTATCCCTTGTTACTTTAGCTATATATTTTTTGTTTTGCCTCTTTTTTTACTTTTAAGAGTTTTCTCTTTGTCTCTGGGTATTCTCCAGTGTTACTGTGGTGTGTCTAGGTAGAGAAAAGCTTGCTTCTCGCTAGGCTGGTAGGTACAGTTTTTCAGTCTCAGTGGAGTTGCAGCCCTTTAGCTGTGTACTGGAATCTCGGTTCCCACATCTCAAGGCCTCGTCTCCTGGCCCTGCCTGGGCAGTGACCCAGGTCCTCCTTTACTTGCCTGTTAGTCACCTGAGGCTGCCACCACACAGGCCCTCCGCTCTTGCATTGCTTAGGTCTCTTGAGGGTTGCCCGTTCTTTCTTAGAATCTCAGCCATGTGTTAAAAAACAAATGTGTTGTATTTTGTCTGTCACTTTAAAGGTAAAAATTTTCGATTGGTGTGCTGCAAAAATTTTTAGAACATGCAATACCTGATTATTTAGTCAGGGGCACCGACCTGTTTCCCGTAGATTGGCAAGTAAGAAGAATGACAACCAACACAATAGCCGTCCGGTATGAATGCATCAAAATTCTACCTTTTTTGGTCAGGTTAGCAAAAAATAAAAGTTTTTGGTGTGCTGCAGAATTTTAGTAATCCGTTTCTGTGTGCCATGAGATGAAAAAGGTTGAAAATCGCTGCTTTCAGGTGTTATTCACTGAAGGATTTTCTCATTAGCCTACCCCACCATTTTTCCAGACTAGAAGTTTTGTCATGCTCTTCATGGGTTTATCCCCACACGTCTAAAATCAGCATGAAATGGGATTATGGCAGCCGTTCCCCTGTGTTGAGACACCATCCTCTGGGTTCCAGCTGCAGGCAGTAGGTCCCTTACCTTTTATTCAAGTTTTATCTTGTGTTTCTGCTTATAGCTCAGTTTTCAGCCCAGTCGAATATAGTAGTCTACTCTTAGAATGGTGTGATATAAATTGTGATTTTATGCTGATGGGGAACTAGGGAAGTATGCCCTGAAGTATAGTTGATAAAGGCTACGGTCTTCTAGGAAGGAGAAGCCACTTGGCAATTTTCTTTCCATTATGCACTCTTCCTGGGAAGTGCATAAAGTATGTAAAAGTTTCCAACTCACCTTCTTGGGCTGAAAAGGAGAATTGAGAATGGTCTTCAAGAATTACAGTGATTGAAATGAAAGTGTAATTAGAACCTTTTTTCCCTGATAGTGAATCCTTTGGTTAGGCCAAAGGTTTCCTGAGTGTTTCTTATTTTATTTTCTCTACCTGTAACAACCTGCTGCAGCTAACTTGTTCCCTCTCAACATTGTTTTAACATTCTCAGATGAATTAGCCTGCTTTCTCTTTCATCTTCCACAGCAATCAGAATATTTCTTTGCTGATACTATTTTCATTTTGCAAGTCAGTGCTTCATCCATTGAGCCACACCAGCCAGGGCTCTTTTCTGATACTACTTTCCTTGTGCCATTTCCTTGATGGCAGTTTGACAGTTGATCCTAAATACATTAAAGCTAAAGTCCTTAGGCTGTCACTCAAGACAGGGCCTTCTAGCCCTCTTTCTGTTCTTACATTTTGTTGTGTTCTCTTGTCAGCTGGCTCTGTATTACCTCTTCTTGTGACTTGCTCATTTGTTTGTTCTTGTCTTTGTTTACCTTCTCCCATGTCCCCCTAGGTCACGTCCATTATTTTATTTAGGATTTCTTCTAGAAGGCCTTCCTTTCTTTCTCCTGCCACATTATAGAATTGTTGTACCTTGCCATGCATTTATGTTGCTCTGTTTTTGTTCTGAGTATTTTCATGAAGTATCTTTTTTTTCCCATTAACTTATGGACCATTGCTATTTAATCCCTTGAAGGACTGGAACTCTTACTCTTACCTTTTGTACTCCTTCTTCCAACAAAATTATCACTGTCCAAATAGAACAGTAAAGTAGGAAACAAATTCCCTTTTTGTTTTCTGTTGAGTTGTTTACAGTCTGGGTAGATAAAACTTGATGAAACAGTCCATAGCCCCTTATATGATTAAATATTAGACTGTGTGGTGCTGATTCTAAGGACCTGTGGAACTAGAGAAATGTGTTTGAATATTTCTTTTGTGTGTAATTATAGAAGCAGAGAAGATTGCACAAGTGGCAAAAATTCGATTTCAGCAGAAGGTGATGGAGAAAGAAACTGAAAAGCGCATTTCTGAAATTGAAGGTACATCAGGGAAAAAGAGGCTCTGACTATCCTAATCTGCCTCTCTTCCCTAAGGGATTGGACTCTTATGGGTGGGAAACCATACACAGAATAGTCTGGAGGAAGTGGCTGACCTAATCTGGACAGTTTTGTGTTTTCTTTAAGATTTTATTTATTTTTAGAGAGGGGAAGGGAGGGAGAGAAACATCAGTGTGTGGTTGCCTCTCAGCACTCCCTCCTGGGGGACGTGGCCTGCAAAGCAGGCCTGTGCCCTGACTGGGAAATGAACCGGCAGCCCTTTGGTTCGCAGGCCGGGACTCGGTCCACTGAGCTACACCAGGCAGGGCTCTAGACAAATTTTTAGAAATTGCCAGTATATAACAAGCTCTTGGTTTGGTTTGTGACTATGACTAACTCAGCCTTTCCTTTCCCAACTTAAAATGGGGTTTATTAGCTCCCATTTTCTTCTTTGGCCATACAATAATTACCCATAATCGGCTGTAAAGAATGTACAAGATGAGAAACCCCAGCACAACCAGTTTTTCTACCTGTCAAGCCCCCCAAAAAAATTAGCTGGAGGAAAAAACCCCAGTTTTCACAGAGGTTCTCAAACTCCTTGATTTCACAGTGTGAGATGTTGCTGTTCCTGGCTCATAGTCTTGTAGACCAAACATTGAACCCCTTTTGCTTACATACTGCTGCTTCCTTCCTGTCGTTCTGCATTAACTGATTTTGGATCAGATTTGCAGTGGGTAGAGAGAATGCAATAAATAGAGCTGAACTTTCATGTGTGGATTTAGTTACTTCGCTGGAAGCGAAGAGCCTGGGTGGGATGTGATTGTGATACTTCAACGATGTAGAGGGGGGGTGGGTGGAGGAAAGAAAGAGCAACATTAGGTGGAAAAGGAAGTCGAGGCAAATGAGCTGAGAGTTGTTCAGCGTTGACAAGAATATTCCCCTTCCAGAACAAACTGTCCGTGGATTTAAAATCTGCTAGTGTTGTAATATGCCTTTAAAGTAATGTAAGTGGTCAAATATCAGGCACTGGAGAAAAGGACTCCTACTTAAGATCCAGTCTGATCTGCGTCCAGCTGAGGAAATGAATTGCAAGTTAACTTTGTTGTAATTTTCCTGACTATTGTGTTTGCTAGATGCTGCTTTCCTGGCCCGAGAGAAGGCGAAAGCAGATGCTGAGTATTATGCCGCCCAGAAATACGCCACTTCAAACAAGGTGCCTGCCTCCCCATGCCAGTCTCCTAGTAATACAGCTTGGGGTTTTGTTTTCCCTTGTGGGGAACCTGTAAGTGTGAGAGAGGTGATTTCATCCAGTGTCAAAGAGCTAGTGTTACCATCACACACCCTCTACAATCAGCCAATTATTTCAAGTGCAAGATAACATTTCACACTTCATTGGGGAGGGAATTTTTTATATTTGCTTATAAAAATGGGGACCTATGACAAAGGCAGACAGATTTATAAAAACAAATGCCATATAGCCATTCATTTGTACTGTTGAATAAGAGCTCAATGATCAAGAAAATTGAGGGACTTCAGAAATGACAACAGGACGCAGAAGAGTAAACGTCACTTAGAGTGGCTTTCCGCAGAAGGTAATTTTTTTTTTTTTTTTTTTTTTTTGAGTCGATGCTAAGCTTGTTTAAAGCAGTGTTTCTCATTAGAGGCGTTCTTGGCATTTTGGAGTGAGATGCTTTTCCATTGTTGAAGATTATCTTGTGCATTATGGGTTATTTTGGATCCCAAGCTCTTGCTTTCTAAATGTCAGTATGCTCGCCAATTATTGTAACAGTCAACACCCCTTTCCCCACTCGTTTCCAAATGCACCCAGTCAGTGCTGCTTGTTTACTGCATTTGAAAAAATGTTCTAGTCATGAGGACTTTTTGTGTGTAATAAGAAAAGAGGAAGGAAGTTGGGTGATACATGGGTGACCAATTTTTGTGTAGGGACCTGGGATAAGTTTAGGTCTAGAGAATACATGCCCAGTGAGCAGGAATCATTTGGCTAAGAAGCAGCTAGAATCCCTATGTTATTCTGAGAAGGGAAGGATGAGACCAAGTTTTGTAAGGTTATTGTAGAGTAGATTGAGACAGATAAAGAGGAAGCTAAGGTGTATGATACAGTTTGAAGAATTCGAGTCAAGATTGAAAATGTAAAGAGGGCTTAAACTTTTTTGATTTAGAAAGGAACAACATTATCTGTATTCGGAAGAACTGGTAAGACACGATAGGTGACAGAATGAGGCTTCTCAGTTCTGTGAAATCGAGTATGAACTTAGAAATACACTTAACATATTGGAGGACACAGCTCTTTAGAAACAGAGTGGAGTTTGGTCAAGATGAAGGCGAGATGAGAAACTTGAGCTTACAGAACTAACATTCCAACTCTGTCGTGGGAGAGGCTGGTCAGGCACAGATATTTAGACGTTGCCATTGAGGTCAGCCTTACGCTGAAAGGGGCAGGAAATAGTTTTATGCCACTTTGGAAATTGCTATTCATATATTGGTCTATATTTGATAAAGCTTAGGGAGTAATTTGGTTATGCACTGTGATCCGATTTGATGACAGTGTTTCTGCGGGGATTATGAGTCCGCTGGAAAAGGTGTAGGTGCAGGGAGTGGAAGGTGTCAGAGGACCATGAAGGACAAGGTGGGCTTTGACCTGGAGGACAGGCTGGGACTTGAGATAAGGTTCTGAGGGGCTTTTGGAGTACATTTTAAGGAACACTGGAAATAGCTGAGTTTTCATTAAACCCAGAGAGATTGTGGTTGGATATATCACAACATCATGATGGAACAAAAAGAGTTTAGGTGTTTTTGTTGTTTTTACATCCTGAGAGAGATCTGATGAGTGACAAACATCTGTCCATCACAAACAGTTTAAACATCCAGTTTCTGGGTAGAGGCAAGGGGCCAGACCAGGTGATTCCTTGAGATGTTTCCCAGTTCTGGAGGGTGATCAGGAAAAGCAGAATCACAGGTCGTGGATCATAAGGTTACAGGCCCCGGCCCTTCCTCTGAAGCTGTGCCACTCTATCCCTTAACCCCGTCACCTCTCCGGAGAGCTAGCACAAATTCCAGACTGATTCCAGGTGGGATCAGCTAGATGAAATGGGGACGTATATGCAAAAGTGTCAGCCGCCAGCTATTGTGGAAGTGCTATTATCATTACTTAGTAAGTTACTGTTCCCCAAAACCACCCTCAATCTCCAAACCTTTTTTTCCCATTCTTTTTAAAATTTTTCTTAAGAAATGAACAGCTTCTCCCTACATCAAGACAGAGCTTGTTGAAGGAACTTCAAGTGTGGAATATAGCTATTACTGTGATAGCCACACTTCAGAGTGAGTGAGGGTCATGGGCAACAACTCAGATTTCAGGGATAATGCCAGAGCGATAGGGAAAATGTGTGTAGGGAAGGCGGGAGATGAGTTCTGCACCAGAATGTCCTGACGCCTTTGCTCTTGTGTGCCCCCACACAGCACAAATTGACCCCGGAGTACCTGGAGCTCAGAAGGTTCCAGGCCATCGCTTCCAATAGCAAGATCTACTTCGGCAGCAACATTCCCAGCATGTTCGTGGACTCCTTTTGTGCTGTGAAATATTCAGATGTTAGGACTGGCAGGAAAAGCTCTCTCCTCCCTAAGGAGGTTCTTGAACCCTCTGGAGAGAGCCCCGTCCAGAAGAAGGAGAGCATAGGTTGATGCAAGGAGTGGAAATGTTCGCCCATGTCAACATGTGTTCCAAGAGGTTCTGTGGGAACAGTGGTAATACGACTCTCCGTGCTTGTGTGCTCAGCCTCTCCTGTGGCGGTCCTGGCTTGTCAGCTGATTCCAGGATAGAGCCCGCTGTCTGGCACCCAGACGGTCTTTTCAGCTGCAGTGTTGTCAAGTATTCGGTGTGTGGGTTCCTTTCGCAACTGGTACTCGGGAAAGAGGGAAAGTCAAATGCTAAGATACTGCCTGCACTGGAATGGTAAACACTAAATACATAACAAGCTGTGCTTTTTAAAGCTGAGAATATTGAATAATGTTTACATTGGTCCCCAGGGATATGTGTTCTCAGCCTTCAAGGGATAGAAGGCCAGAAAGAAGACGGCCAGCCTGTGGTGAGAGCAAAGGAGACTCAGTACTCCTGGTCCCAGGCCCCCGAATCCAGTCCCAGCGTTCCTCCCTGTGACTGGCATCTGGTCTGCGGAAGTTCCGCAGGAAACGAGCTTCCACTTGAGCAACCATTTACTTGATACGATTTACACCTCCTTCTTTTCCTACAGCTGAGCAGGTGGCCTGCTGGAGCTCGCACTTGCTACTCAGCCAGATTCCTTTAGAGATTCCTAATCAGTAGTTGATTTCATTAGTAGGCACAGAGATAGAGCTTGGTTTGAAGTTTGGCATGAGATGAAACCTTGACTTTAAACCAAAGCTCTGGGGACCTGCATTCTCTTCCATTGGGTGATGATCATCTGTGTCACTGCCCTAGGCCCTATGTGACTAAGGTACCTGGTTTCTAGTCACAGACAACTCCTATGTCACCTTTCAGCTCTGGCTGGCCAAGAGCAAGACAGGGCTTTAACGAGAAATAAAAGCCGCATACAATTCTTAGCTCTTCACAGCACAGGATTGAGTCGTAACTGCAGGAAGTGTTGATTTTTAGCACTGGATTTGGGGTACATCATTTGCCCCAGTACCTCTGCCTAGAGGCTATATTCTGGGCTGCCATGGTTACTAGCACAGTGATTCTTCTCAATATTGTTCATCAGAAGCCTACGTAATGTGGAACAAAGAGTAACTTCGAGAGCAGCCTGGGTTATTTTTGTGTCCTTCCTTCTTGGCCCAGGGATGCTGAAATCAAAGTTCTCCACCTTTTCCTTCCCTAGGAGAGCAGGATTCCACTGCCTTCCTGGGCAGCCAGTGGGTGTAATTTTCCGTGAGAGGATGACAGTCACCGAGGTTTGTTGTTTTTTTGCCATGTATACTGCGCACCCATGTTTTTGTGCGCATTATGCATGGGATCATTATGCCCATTGTTATATCCATGGTGTGTAACCATTACAGCCCTGTATGATGCGCACCCTTCTCTTCCCTCAAAATTGGGGCAAAAAGGGTGCGGTATACATGGCAAAATACGGTAGCCTTGGGCTGTGAGAGACTTCTTTTATCTGGCCTTTTTTCCCCCATTAAGGTTAACTTTCCTGAAAGAGTGTGCCCCATAGTTGACCCTGATCATGCGCTGCTGAGTGAGGCCTTTTGTGTGGACTTTGTTCAAGCCAGACAGAAAAGTCATGGGGCCCCGTCCAGCACCTTTCTGCTGACTCAGTCCTGTCAGTCTCATGACAGCGTGTGGGTTGTGCCAAACACCAAACACGTTCTCTGGGGAAGGAATCTCGGAGTGGAGAGGGTGTTTCCCCACGGCCTTACCCTTCAGGGGCATTTGTAATATGGAGAGACTCATTTTTTTCATTTTTTGCTCCATTAATTGCATCCCTCCTTTATGGGTGAAGTTTGTGTTTTGTAGCCCTCTTCGAAAGATCTTTAGAATTGTAAAAATAAGTCCTCACCTGTCATATATTGTTGCTGCAGGTGGATGATTGTTGTGGGAAATCTGGATCATTGATCTTTGTGCTTGCTTGCTTAGAGATGTTTCCTACTCCCATGAGCTAAAGAAAGCTGCTGTCCCAAAGTGATAAGATGAGGGTTCTCTTACAAGCCAGGAGCCCTGGTGGCAGAGTTGAGGAACTGGGACTCCCATGAAGTTTTAAAGAAAGGACTTGCACTTGCAGTCCCCATGGAGTGTGTGCTTCCCTGTGCTCACTAGGTCTACCCCTCCTTCGGGAATGTCCCTTTTGGCAAATATACACTGTAATCTTGAGTTGAAATTTATATGTGAAGTGCTGCCTTTTTATACAAAAAAAGAAACCAAATAAAATTAGGTTATTTTCAGTGGTGATTTGTGTTTTATGTGTCTCCATTCTTTTCTCTCGTCTGAATATTCTCCCAAGGCTTTCTTGCCCGTTTCACTAGGTAGCCACTTTATTTACTAGTGTTACTTAACTACAGAGGCTTTTCTAATACTCTTCTGAGAACAGCATGGCCCTGGTATGACAATGTTGAAACAATTTTAAAAATATTTTCAATTACATTTGACATATATTAGTTTCAAGTATACAACAGTGATTAGACATTTGCATAATTTCTGAAGTGATCACTCGTACCTGGCATAAGAATTGGAAAGCAGGGTTTCTATTCTCCTGACTTAGAATTTAATGAGGGATTCCTGATTCTTCGTGGGGGGAGGGGGGTGTAGCCAGCTGCAGAGGAGGGAAGGGGAGGACGGAGCACGGTGCCCCTTCTAGAGGCTGCCTGCGAGCTGGAGGAAGGCTGGAGGCAGTTCTCTTGAAGCAGAGGAAGGATAAATTGTGTAAATTATAACTGAGAATGCTACGGTATAACTAACCTCACTTACTCAGGCGTTAGCCCAAGAGCCAGGGTTGGATGTCCTCTTCCCAAGCTCTCAATGTTGCGTCCCAGGGACCATGTCACGGTGATGTATGGGGAGCAGGGCTTGGTATTGGGAATTTTGAGAAAAGCAGTGCTTTTGCTCCCTGCTGCTCCCCTCCTGCTCTGGATCAGGTTGGGGTGGGGGAGGTGCGGGGAACAGGAGGCGGAGCTCAGACCACCTTCCCTGGCCCCAGGAACCTACTGGTACGTGGCCTGCGGGTTGGGGACCCCTGTCCTATGGGCCTTTGGTAGATACTGAAATGAAGTGATTTCGAATTAAGTGACTTCCTCTTGCTGTGGGGAAGGACCTCTGTGATTAGAAGGGGTGACTTCGAGTAGCTTGGGAGTGAAGTCCCGCATGTGTGCTTCCAAGGCTTTGTGTGACTTGCCATCCCCACCTGACCTGTCCAGCCCAGGTTCCTGACTGTACATTCCGTATGTATTTGCATATATTGTTCCATCTGCCTGGCTCACATTTCCTCTCCTATAGCTCCAGCTTCCTTTGCTAACTCCTAATGGCAGTCTTCACTTCAGAGAGATCACCCTGCCCTGCTTGCCCAGGTCAGCACCCCATGATTCCCTCTGTAACATTTCCCATGCCTGGCATTATCTGCTTAATGTCTGTTCCCATAATTCAGCTCTCTGGGGGCGGAGACTGTGACCCTCCTCCTCCCTGATGGAGCATCTATTACTCATGCCTACCACAGCACCTGACCCATATGAGTTAAGTCATTTTTGTTGCATGGAAGAGCGAAAGGACGAATGTGAAATGCAGGTTGTCTAGTGGGAAAGAAGAAGGACATAGGACTTAGGCTAGCGTGTCCATGTCAGGATTTAATGTGCATCTTGGGCAGTTACCTATCGTCTCGGACCTGTTTTCCCATCCTTGAAGGGCTCTTCAGTGGATTTCAGCAACTAGCAGAGTGGGAATTGTTGGGAGTGTTAGTGCACCCATGCTGTACGAGTCAGCATATGTTTCTGACTCTGGAGAGGGTATAAGTTCCTGCAGTGGAGAGAGCACTGGGCCTGACATACATGTGTGTCGTAAAAGACATTGAGTTGTGTCTTCAGCAGCTGTGAGCTAAGCTACCCGGAGTTGGAACCTGGACCACAGCCATCCAGGAAAATCTGAACAAGCTGGCCCAGCTCCTCAGCTTACTCCTGATCTGTTGTCTTTGAGTAAGCATTTAGAACTCGAGTTGGTTCTTGAACAGCATGGCGGTTAGGAGCACCGACCCCCTGCAGAGTCAAAAATCTCCAGGGAGTTTTTGACTTCCTGGAAGCCTTAGAGATAGCAGTTGATTAACACATAGTTTATATGTTATTTGCATTATTGTATTATATTATTTCAATAAATTAAGCTGGAGAAAACATTTTATTTAGAAAATCATAAATTTATGGTATTTATTGAAAAGAAAACATGTTCTCCAAGTGGACCTATGCAACTTAAACCCATGTTGTTCAAATGTCAGCTGTAATTTTCTGTTACTTCATTGCTCACTCCAATTGCCCATTATTACATAGATCATAACTCAGAATGACATTTTACTTGTTTTCCTTACCTACCTTTCCGTCCTTTTTTCTTATTTTCCAACCATTTTTCCTCTTTACATCTGCTGCAGACTGAACGTATCTTCCTAGAGTTCCTGTGTTGCAGCCCTAATCCCCAGTGTGATGGCATTTGGAGGTGGGGCTTTTTGGAGGTAAACCAGTTGTGAGGATGGAGCCCTCATGAGTGGAGTTGGTTCCCTTACACGATGAGACACAAGAAAGATGTCTGTCTCTTGGCCACATGAGGACACAGCAAGAAGGCAGCCATCTGCAAACAAGGAAGAGGACTCTCGCCAGACACCAAATCAATTGCCTAGCATTTTTACCTTGGTTTCTCATTCTCCAGAACTATGAGAAATGAATTGTTTAGGCCACCCTGTTTATGATCTTTTGTGCCCACAGCCTGAGCAGACTAAGACACCTTCTGATTCTAATTTTTACCCTCAAATATTTTTCTTTCTTTTTTTCCTAGAAGTATTTATTGGGCATCTAGTGTGTGCTAGCTGCTGAGACAACAAAGAGACATAGAGCCTTGTGTGTTGGGGTTGGGGGCGGGGGTGGTACGCCAACAGAAGGCACTTAGGGTGTGGTAAGTAACACGGAAGGGTGCACACTGGGTGCAAGAGGCACAAATGAGAGTCAGCACCACCTTGTGGGTTCTAAGAGGCAAATTCCGGCTTGAGCCAGATTTTAAAGGATGGACAGGAGGTCGCCAGGCAACTGAAGAGTGCTAGTGAAATGTGTCCCAGGCAGTGGGAGCGCCAGATGCTATATTACACTGCAATTTGCCGGGTCCCCTTGCCTCAATAGTGCCATGCATGCACTTAACATGTTATGTTTCACTACAGACATCCTCCACACCACAGAAGCTGCAGTCGTTCTGCACGTAACTCAGACACACGCACAAGTGTCTGGAAGAACAACCCTCAACCAGTGGGAGACAGGAACGCAAGTGGTCAGAGGTGAGGCGACCCGTCAAACCTTTTCAGGGAGACAGCAACCCTCCTGACCCAACGGGAGAAACAATGCCAATATCAAATGGAATATAATCCATCAAGTGTTTGGGTGTGTGGATGTGCCAGGAAACCTAAACCATGTAAAGCAGCGGTCCTCAGCTTTTTGGCACCGCAGGCCGGTTTCATGGGAGACAGTATTTCCATGGACAGTGTGGGGTGGAGGAGGACGGGCAGATGGAGGATGACTTGGGGATGATTCAATCACATTACATTTATTGTGCACATTATTTCTATTATTGTTACATTGTAATATATAATGAAATAATACACCTCACCATAATGCAGAATCAGTGGGTACCCTGAGCTTGTTTTCCTGCAACTAGATGGTCCCATCTAGGGGTGATGGGAGAAAGGGGCACCCAAAGTGTGTTGCTTACGCCCAGTCTACTCCATAATCTTGTTTTGGTTGCTGTCACTGCAGAAAACATTGCCTCACAAAGATAGGATGTTGGTAGTGGAAGCAGGCTCTTCAGGGCTCCTGTGGCAATCTCAGGATATTCCATTTTGACTTTATTATTATTTTTTCTATTTTTTTACTTCAACAATCTTTTTTTTTTCCTTCATGCCTACTGAAAATCTGCCTGTAGACAAGGCAATTCATTCTTCTAATAAAAGTACCCCTGTCTACATATGCAAGGCCTTCATCAGATCCACGGTGAGCATGTGGTATGTCACATCGTATTCTACAGGTGCGTTTTCTTGTGAGTCTGTGGGGTTATAATCAATTCTTCCTGGAAATATTAGCCTCTCACTAACTGTCTCTTTGATCAGTAGATGCTGTGCTCCATGTAGAAGGCAGGTGGTAGGTGCATTAAATCAGCTATCTTGCTCTCGTGAATTTGTATTCTTGTAACACGTAGGTCTTGTCGGCCTCTGGTAAAGTCTCATGTCATTCATTCTGATAAGCACTCCATCGATTCTCAGAAGGACCTGCAACAGCAGGAGAAAGCTGGAAGGCATTGCTCTAATTTTCACACTTGGACTTGAAACTCCATGATCATGAAGTTCATCCTCAAATGGAACTTCAAAGAACTTAATGTGTTCTTTGCTTTCAGTTTCTCTGTATCCACATGGTCTGTTGCAGGTACAACCTTTAGCTTCAGTGATTCTCCAAGTAATGTTCCCTTCTAATCTGTTCTATAGGCCTAGTCATATGGTTTTAAACCTCCTTGTGGTGTTCACCCTCCATCCTCTTTCATGCTGCTCTTTAGCACGGGCTACTCTTTGAGCTATTCCTTGGTAGTTATTTATATGGAAAAGCATCTGTAGCATTGAACTCAATCCAAAAGCCAGAATAGTGCTGGATTCTTACAACATTGTCTCCAAACATCATTTCAGGTGGGGGGCGGGGAGGTGTATGGCATATGCAACCCATCAGCTAACCTCTCTGCAGACTTCATGATGCGGGTCTTGGTAGCCATCAGCTTCCAGGGCCCGAAGGAGAGATCCCGCTGGCTGCTCTGAAGGCCATGAATCATCATGGCAAAGGAGGGGACTGAATGGGCCAAGAAGAATGGGTTAGAGCAGCAGTGGCAACAGACACAGGTTCCCCTGCCTTGCTGGGGCTCAGCACCACCCCCCAACCCCTCCTTGACCTTAAATCGCTCACCTCCTGCTGTGTGGCCCCAGTTCCTAAAGTGGCCTGGGGGTTGGGGAAGCCTGGTGTAAAGTATTGGACCCACAGTGAATAAAATAGTGAAGAAGACAGATACCATCTCTGCCCTTTCAGAATCAACAGTCTAATGGAAGGGAGACCTTAATCAAACAATTCCAGCTATGAGAAGACTATATCAATGAAAGAAATGTAGAGCTAGGAGTGTATGGGGGAACAAAAAGCAGAGGGAGATTAAGAATGAGAACTTACATTAGGCAGTTAAAGATCAGAGGATAACAATAGTAACAAGACAACCCAATTTTTAAATGGGCAAAAGATGCCAATATTTCTTCAGAGAAGATATATAAATGGCTAGCAAGAACAAGAAAGATATTCAACATCATTAGCCATTAGTGGAAGATCAATGAAAACTGTGAGATACTCCATACCCAGTAGGAGGGCTACAACAACAACAACAAAATCAGACTGTAACAAGTGTTGGAAAGGATGAAAAATTGGGGTCCTCCTATCTTAACAGTAGGAATGTGAAACGGTGCAGCCACTTTGAAATATATTTAGACAGTTCCTCAAAATGTTACACAGAGTTGCTACATGACCTAGCAATTCCGCTTCTAGGTCTCTAGGTAAAAGAATTAAGACATGTCTACACAAACTGAATTGCTTGGGTAATAGTGTAAAGACCTCAATTCAAGAACCTTCCAAAAATACAACGACCTTTAATTACAGGCCCAACATTATTGTAAGAATGGGAGCACCTAAAGATGAAACTGGCAAAGTAGGTGTCCATATTGACGGAGCTAGATCCTGGTGGGCCGTCTAAGCTTGTTATAAATCAGTGACTCTTTTCAAAAATGAGACATTTCAAGCAACAACTTTCCGAACGTAAAATTCAAAACGGAATGCTATTTACATCAGCATCCACAAATATGAACTACTTAGGTATAAGTCTAGCAAAATATGTACAAGAGTTGTTTGAGGAAAATGACAATACTTTGATGAACACCAAGGAAGAACTAGAAAAAGGGAGAGAGATTCCAAGTTCACGGGTAGAACAACTCCATATTGTGAAGACGCAGCTTCTTCCCAACTTGATCAATACATTCCATGCAATGATCAAAATCCCAACAAGTTATTTTCTGGATATCAACAAACCGATTGGAGAGTTTCTATGGAGGGGCAAAAGACCCAGCGTATCCAACACAACAGTGAAGGAAATAACAAAGTTGGAAGACTGACACCACGTCACTTCAAGACACTATAGAAGAGCAGTAATCAAGACAGTGTTGTATGGACAAAAGAATACACAAGTAGGTCGGTGGGACAGAATAGATTGTCCAGAGACAGAGCCACATAAATAGAGTCAACTGAACTTTGATAAAGGAGCAAAGGCAATACAATGGGGAAAAAAATAGTTTTTCAACAACGGTGGTGGAACAACTGGACAGCCACTTGCAAAGAAATGAATCTAAACACAGACCTCACACCCTTCAGAAATATTAACTCAAAATGGATCATAGGCCTTCACGTAAAATACAAAAGTCTAAAACTCCTGGAAGATGACACAGGAGAAAACCTAGATGACCTCGGATCTGGCTATGACTGTGTAGGTTCTTTTTTTGGTCTGCAAAAGACCATGCTAAGGGAAAGAGAAGACAAGCATAGAGCGGGAGAAAGCATTTGCAGAAGACACATCTGACAAGGGACAGTTACCCAAAATATACAAAGGACTTAAAACTCAACAATACGAAAATAATCCAATAGAAAAGTAGGCCAAAGACCTTTGCAGACACCAAACCAAAGAAGATACACAGATGGCAAATATGCCTGTGAAAAGATGTTCTGAATCATCTGTTGCCAGGACAATGCAAATGAAAACAACAATGAGATACCACCCCACACCTCCTATAATGGCCCAAATCCAGAACACTGACAACACAAGATACGGGTGAGGATGCAGAGCAAGAGGAACACTCATTCATTGTTGATGAAAATGCAAAAGGGTACAGCCACATTATAAGGTAGTTATAGCTTACAGAACTAAACATACTCTTACCATATGATCAAGCAATTGTACCCCTTGGTATTTGGGCTAACAACTTGAAAACTTACATTTGCCCCAGCTGGTGTGGCTCAACGGATTTAGTGCCGGCCTGCAAACCAAATGGTCACTGGTTCAATTCCCAGTCAGGGCATGTGCCTGGATTGTGGGCCAGTTCCCCAAGTAGAGTGCGTGGGGGAGGAAACCACACATTGATGTTTCTTCCCTCTCTCCCTCCCTTCCCTTGTCTCTACAAAAAAAAAAGAATACAATCTTAAAAAAAAAAAAAAAGGAAAACGTAACATCTACATAAAAACTTGCACACAGATGTTTATAGTAGCTTTATTTGTACTTACTCAAACTTGGAAGCAACTAAGATGTCCTCCAGTGAGTGAATGGATAAATAAACTGGAGTAACTTCCAGACAACGGGATATTAGTTGGCGATAAAAAGAAATGAGCTGTCAAGCCACGACGTGACATGGAGAAACTTTAAGTGCATATTACTAAGTGAAAGAAGCCAATGTGAAAAGGCTCTATGCTATATGATTCCAACTCTATGACATACTAGAAAAGGCCAGACTATGAAAACAATACAAAGGTCAGTGGTTGCCAAGGGTTGGGGGTGAGGAAGAATAAATAGGTCGAGTACAGGGGATTTTTAAGGCAGGGAAAATAGCCTGTAATGGGTGTCCAACCTTTTGGCATCTCTGGGCCACGCTGGAAGAAGAAGAGTTGTCTTGGGACACACATTAAACGCACAAACACTAAGGAAGTCTGATAAGCAAAAAAACCAAAAAAGGTTTCAGTTAATTTACAGTTTAGTGCTGGGCCACATTCATGGCCGGATTGTGCCGCACGCAGCCCACGGGCTGTGGGTGGGACACCCCCGCGAGCATAATGGTGCATATGTGTCATTATACGTTTGTCAAAACCCACTGATACACACATCAAGATTGAACAGCAGTGCCAGTGACGGACTTAGGTTCACACGTGTCAGTGTCGGCTCCCTGGTCGCAACAAGTCTGACTCAGGGTTTTGATGGTGGGGGCGGAGGGTGCGTGGGAGCTCTCTGTACTTCCCACTCAATTTTTCTGCGGAACTAAAAGTCCTCTAAAAACATGAAGTGATGAAATAAAAATCTGTCTAAAAAGACAAAAACAAATCCTTCATGTTTTTCAGCAAGGGAGTGACACGTTGATGTTGTTTTAAATCTGCTCTTATACTTGGGTTTCACTTCAGTTCGTATGACTCTTTCGCCTCTTAAATCTGCTCTCTCCCAATGCGCTTCCAACATCTCACTGCATTTATTCACCTACTTTCAACATCCAAAAGAACATTACAGGCCGAACTGTTGAGGCTTTTCCAAGTCAGTGCTTTACCTCACTGTGAAATGTCTGCAAATGAATACTTGGGAGGAGCAAAAGCATCAGTGGACAGTGGTTCCACAGAAGGTGCTGGAGGGAACATGGAAACGTGTCTGAGGTCTTTAAACTAATTCCCTCTCCCTGGGCTCTCCACGTGCAAACCCATCATTGGCTGTGGCTCCACGCCAGCTTACACGCCCTAAGGCTAATGGACACAAGCATGCAAGCTAATAAGCGATTTTGTTTCCTGGAAATAGTCTGATGTGAGAAATACAGAGAGCTGGCTCTGAATTCAGTGCAATAATGTTCGTTATAATAAGTAAAGAAAACCACAGTCGATTTCTTTTTAGATTTAGAGAAAAGATTTATCATAGTAAAAATTCCCCATGAAATAATCTATAGACATTACTGTTAATAGTAAGACCCCAAAGAATAAATCACTAAGAACATGAATGATCTGAAATGCAAATGCAAATGAGAGAACATTTTTCAAACCCCACCTGAGTGAAGATTTTCTTTTCTTTTTTTTATTGGAGTAAAATATACATTAAACTGACCATTTTAACAGTTTTGAGTTGTGCAGTTGAGCGGCAGTCAGTGCGTTCACAATTCTGTGCAATCATCACCACTATCCATTTCCAGAACTTTTTTATCATCTCAACATATGCCCTGTACTCATTAAACATCAACACCCGATTCCTTCCTCCCCCCGGCACTGGCAACCTCTGGTGTACTTTCCATGTCCAGGAACTTAACTTCTCCAGGTGCCCATTTCAGTGGGATCCTATGATCCTTGTCCTTTTGTGCCTGGCTTATTTCCCTTAGTGCCACGTCTTCAGGGTTCATGGATGTTGCAGCAAATATTAGAACTCCCTTATTTTAAAAGGTGACTTGATATTTGATTGTATATATGCATATACTACCTTTTTCTCCATTCATCTGTAGATGGAAACAGTAGACTTCACTAATGAGAAACATGATAAAAAATTATGTTTGAGGAGGACGACTCTGACAGCGGTTTTTCGAAATAAGATCACAGAACATCTGATCTCTTTTTCTAAAATTTGTGAATTTAGTTATTTGTATAGTTCCAGAAAGTTATGGAAACTAAAATGCAACTATATAGTTAATAAATCATTAGTGCTGAAAGGGGCAAAATACAATGCAATGGAGAAGCTTCAAAAATCAAAAGGTACAGATTTTGTGATTGAGAGGAAGAGCGCATGTGCCTTTGAATTAACCTCAAGCTTCAGCACACGAAAGCCAAAACCAGTCCCAGGGTATTTTTTTTTCTGTGGTTTGCCAAATCCAAGAACTTGCAGGTCACGCCGCTGCAGAAGACTTTGTACCGAGCACTTGAACATACCTAGCCTCAAAGAGCTGAGATGGAGCTGCTGGAAATTGGTACTCCTGTTCTTATTATTTGTTTCATTTGCCTGGTTTTCCTTTTGGTACGGAAACAAAGTCACAAAGGAGAAAGGCTCCCCCCGGGCCCAACTCCCCTCCCCATCATTGGGAATCTGATGAATCTAAACTTGAAGGATATCCCTGCGTCTCTGTGCAAGGTAAGGGGGTTCATTCTGGGGCTGCTCGTCTCCACGTCGGGGGGTCACCTTCCAGGCGTGCCCCTGAGACCCCTGCAGGCTGGCTGCCTTCCTTCAGTCTCTCTCCGTTTGACTCAACCCCTGAGGCACTTTCGGGTGTCCGTCTCTGTATTACAAGGAAGATAACGTCCTTCTTTCTTAACTGGATCGCTGCAGACCAGGTAGCGATGTATGTTGACCAGACCTGAGATATAGGTTGAATTTTAGATGAGAAAATTCTGGAATCAGAAGATACTTTAACTGAAAGGCTTCCAATCCTCTCAGCCTAGAACACTTTCCAAAAGGCAAGCCCAGCAAATGTAAAAATGTGTCCGATGTCCTTCTACATGAGGATGATTATTACTACTATTTTACATTAGATGATCTATGGGACGCATTGTGATCCTCCCTCCCCTCCCCAACATCTTGCTCTGATACAGCCCAGCTCTGCTGTCCTGACGGACGTTTATTTCTTTGCAAATATGACAAATCATCACCAGGAGTTCATTGTCCAAGGATATATTCTCCAGAACACTCTAAATGTCCACCAATAGATAAATGCAGAAAATGTGGGCTCTCTATCACCTGTCTATCGATCTACTCATGTATCGATTTTCTCACACACACACTGGAATGTTATTTAGCCTTAAAAAGAAGAAGGAAATCCTGCTCTTTATAACATGGATGAACCTGGAAGACATTCTCCTAAGTATGTAAGTCAGACACAGAAAGACAAACACGCATGATCTCACCACCTGTGGAATCTGTAATAGTCCAACTTACATAAGTAGAGAGTAGAATGGTGTTCAAAAGCCATGCCCCAGTTGTTGGCTGCTTTACTACGCCTTTTCTCCTGTGGGGACAATGCTGGCCTAAATGCATCGGTTTCTTCCTTTTTTATACCTGACTAGCAAGCCCCCTCACCCCGAGCCCTTGTCCCGGCTCCTTCCTTCTCATCTTTCGTTGAACCTTAAATCTTATCCCCTCATAGACCCCTGGCCTCTCTGTTTTATTGTTTGCCCATTATCATCCAACACAGTGCACTCTTTATCACTTTCATGGAATTATGCTCATTTTGTACTGTAAATGAGGGTGTTTGGCTGTTTACTGCCTGTTGTTTGCACTAGACTCTTAGTCCCATGGGGGCTCCTGGGCTGTGCACAGTGTCTGACACAGTACAGGTGCTTAGTAACTGTTTGCTTAATGGTTGCATATTATAAAAGAAGGGAAGAATGACTCCATGACTAAACTCTGGGTTAAATTTCTAAAATGGGAAGGATGGGGTAAAGGCTAAGCTACATGTAAATTATTACCCAAGTTCCACCCAAGCCTCCAGTGGAGAGATTTCTCAATAGCACTTACAATGCCGCTTTAATCTTTTTCCAGTTAGCCCAAGAGTACGGCCCTGTTTACATGTTGTACCTTGGCCCCAGACCCACCGTGGTCTTGCATGGATATGAGGCGGTGAAGGAAGCTCTGATCGATCAGGGTGATAAATTCCTTGGCAGAGGACGTATTCCAGTCATTTCAGATTTCCAAAAAGGACATGGTATGTTTTAAATCAAAATATGGTATGTTAAATGAACAAACATGGGACTATCTTAATAAATGTCTGTTCTGCACCAAGCAACTGATCGGATGCTACAATACTGCAATGTCAATTTGATGCTATGACCCAGACGTAGTGCAGACTCCACGGGCTAAAGGCGTCGTCCCCAGCAACACAGCCCTTCCTTGAGGCGCCAGCCGAAAATCCACTGGCTTCCAGGTCATCTGTACTTTTGACCAACAGGAGAAAACTTCAGGCGTGCGGTGACCTCCTCAGGTTTAATCATGGGTAGAATTATTCTGAGAACTCAGGAAAGCACTAACTAGCAGTTTTATTATAAAGAGGATGCAAATGAAGAGACACGTAGGGCAAGGTTTGAGAGGGTCCCAAAGGCAGATTGTCTGTATCCTCTCCCTGGGAATCAGAATGTATTGCCTTCTTGACACGTTAATATGGAACCTCACTTTGAACAAGGCCCCAGGGGCTCACCCTGAACACAAAGACTCCTCCAATCCATGGGAAATGCTGAGGCTATTTAAGTCCCCTCCCGGGAACCAGGGTTAAGGACCAGACACATTCTGTTATTATATAACAGATGCCCCGATAGCTCTATTGAGATGAGTTTCAAAAACAGTCTGGCTCCGGCTGGTGTGACTCAGTTGGTTGGAGTGCCATACCAGATCCGAAGGGTTGCAGGTTCGATTCCCAGTCATGGCACATCCCACAGTAGCGGGTTTGATCTCTGGCCCTGCGGTTGCGATCCCTAGTCCGGGTGCCTATGGGAGGGAACAAATGGATGCTTCTCTCTCTAAGAGCAAGGAAAAGTGTCCTCTGGTGAGGATTACAACAACAAAAAAGCCAGAGTCCAAGTTCCTTATTACCTAAATATGCAAATATAATTGCGATAAAAATGATCTGGCAAACCTGAAATAAAAGATTTTCCCCAGCACTGTCAGGAGTTCGGGACCTGGAGGAGCGATTCCTGGGGTATCATTTCACATGTTCAAAAGGCTGCAGCAACAGTGAACAAACGACGAGACATAGAGTTTACCGTGTTTTCCGGCACCGCCTGCTTTGGTGGGGGGAGGGGGGTCAGGGAGGCAGCACACAGGGAGCCATAATGGTACTAGTCGGGCTCCAGGTCTTCGGCTGGATGACAGACTCACAGGTCACTAATTTTATCATTATGTTTCAGAACTTAGGGATGTGTCACACATTGCTTTACATATACCAGGGACTGTACACATGCACAAAGAGCTTCACAGACCCTCAAAGTCTCCTCCAAACCACTCACAACTGTAAAACTGCAAGTCCCAGAGAAATAGAAACTTTCTTCTGTTAAAGAACAAAATTCGTCTGAGTCAATATGAGTATCTAGTTGATTTTATGAAGCTATTCAGGTATTGGACAGCGTCCCATCTACCAGCTCGAAGGACCTCTGAGGGGTTGTGCACAATGGAAAGTTTTCATAGGCAGAAGGGTATGGCCAAAGAATGAAAGAAGTGTCCTCAGACCAGGTCTTCTACCTGCAGGGGAAAGGGACTAACTAGCAGGGGTTTATTACCTTGCTGATTACCTTGCTGGTGTAGATCAGGAAAGTCCAGATGAACTGGTTTAAAATTCCACTCCTGGAAGAGGCTGACATGTTAGTTATTAAGTTTAGGTTTGGTGAGTTTGCTTAGCAAAAGTGACTCCATTTTGCCCTGTATTTCCTTTATTAACAATTCCCTCCTTTTGATCCAAGTCTGTCTACCTCAGAGGGAAGATCAAATTTCAAAGCATTAGCACCACTCCCTGCTCCTGCTCCGTAGTTCTTGAAGATTTTGCTGGTCCCTTGTGATATCCCTAGGTCATGGCTTTGGGGTCATAATCTTTAAGTAGATGTTTTTCTTCTTGTTTTTTAAATTTTGTAGAGAGAAGGGAACGGAGCGGGAAGGGAAGGGGAGGGAAAGGAGGGAGAGAAACATTGACAAGCTGCCTCTCGCACACCCTTAACCGGGGCCCTGGCCCACAACCCAGGTATTTGCCCACCGGGAATCGAACCAGCAACCAAAGCCGCGAACCAACGGGCAACATTTCGCTTTGCACGCTGGCACTCAATCCACTGAGCTGCACCAGCAAGGGCAAATATTTGTTTTCTTTTTGATGCTCCAGTCTTAGGGAGGTCATTTGCTTGCAAAGAAAAAGCTACAAACAAGTCATTGACTTTTGAGAGGGTACTACAGGCTGACGAAACTGATGTGCATTAAGAGCAGTAGGACATTTCCAATAAGTTAATGGGTTAGTACAGAAGAGGACATTAAAAAGCATTGGTATGGACTATGCTGGGTTCGTTTGCTTCTTTGTTTCTTCTTATTCAGAGGAGGCTACATTCACTGTAGTATATTCTCAGCAGAATAGAATCATACATCCCATATTGATTCGCTTAACTCATCTTGTCACAGAAAAACATCACAGCTAGAACTAAACCACAGGGCAGAGGACTATGAAGTGTAAAAACATGTGTTTGTGGGAACACATGCCACTTTTGCCCATTTTTAACAAAACCGGACAGAGGCCTTCCACACTTGGGAATATTTTCCACCCACCAACGATTCCCCTCCCTGCTTCATTCCATCACCTCTGCCCCCCGTTGACCAGCATAGGTTATCTAGTCTTTGTGACAAATATTTCACCCAACTCCAAAATAAGTTGTGCTCTTACACTGCGATTTGCTGAATCCCTCCTGAGGGGCACTCGGAAACAGCTCAGGGTAGACACAAGAGGGCAGCTTCAGGAAAAACCTGACTCAGTGACACCCATCCTCTCCGGCTCCTTGTTTCTTTTCCTAGGAGTTATTTTCAGTAATGGAGAGACGTGGAAGCAAATGCGGCGCTTCTCCCTCACGACCCTGAGGAACTTCGGGATGGGGAAGAGGAGCCTTGAGGAGAGGGTCCAGGAGGAAGCCCGGTGCCTGGTGGAGGAGCTCAGGAAAACCAAGGGTGAATGCCAGCGTCCGTCCCTTTGGGGTCAAGGGCCTCCCCACAGGCAACCGCCCCCAGTCACGGCTCCTCATTTGGGAACCCCTCTGTGGTCCACAGGCTGCTCTATTAATCAGAGCGCTGGCTCAGAGAAAAAATGGGTGGGAAGAAAACGATGCTTTTCGTTAGGACTCTCAACTCCTTGCTTTTGGACTCATTTCTCAACATGAGCACTTGCCGGGCATGTAAATTTGGCCAAGTGTCTTTCCTTCTGTAAGATGTAGTTTCCACATCTGAGAAATGGGGCTAAAAATCAAACCTCAGAATGAGAGTTAAGGAATATAGTTTGCAAGACAGATACACAACCGTGTAGCAAGAGGACCATGTAGCAAATGGTCCATATCAGCTGTTGCCCTGATGACTATTTAAGTATTCATGTAATCGCATAATTGGTATTATTAGCACAGTGCAATACTATCTAGTACCAGTATTCTTAGAAGGCGCTTACATCTTAATTTGGGGAAGTTTAGAGGAAATAACTGGTGTGTATACATCTGAGCGGGAAGAAGGTGCCGTTCTTGAAGAAAATGCTCAATGTTAACAGTAGTTTCTTTCTCACATCAGCTCAGCCCTTTGATCCTTCTTTCATCCTCTCCTGTGCTGCCTGCAATGTGATCTGCTCCATCCTCTTCAAAGAGCGTTTTCAGTACCAGGACAAGAAGTTCCTTTTCCTGATGGACTTGTTGGGTTTAAATTTTAGGCGATTAAGCCCTGTATGGAATCAGGTAAGGCTGAGGCTGCATCTGCACTTGCCGTTGATCTCATAGACCCACTGGTAGCTAGCAGGCCGGGTAGAGGGCTCCTTCAGGAGCAAAGTGCCAACATCAATCGGCATTCATTGTCACCTTCCCGTGCATGTGTGTCGAGTGAATGAGTGCAATAACAGTTCCCCGGCGTCACTGGAAGGACGCCCTCTGCTTGCCTCTAGGGGTCTGCTCACACAAAAGAAGACACAACATTCCCCGGTGCCTATGTTTCTTTTCAGGCCCGTGTGCACATGTTCCGCCGTGTGACTCCGGGGTGGAGGAGGCAGGGATGAGCCAGGAGATGGGCCAGGGCTGCTCTGCTGTGTGTGATGATGGTCCTCCCTCCTCTTCTGCTTGGAAGTTGGAGGAAGGATTTCTGCCTGGCCAGGCCACGCCCAGGGGCAGGCACTGCACTCAGACACTCTGGTTCCTCTTTGCAAACTGAATTTCCAGGGTATTTTCCCCTCTGCCCTTTTTTAGGTTTACAATCTATGGCCAAATCTCATAAAGCATCTCCCTGGACAACATAGATCATTTTTTAAAAGGACTGCAGTTTTTCATAATTTCATTCTGGGAAAAGTGAAGGAGCATCAAGAATCCCTGGATGAGAGTAACCCTCAAGACTTCATCGACTCTTTCCTCTGCAAGATGGAGCAGGTACTGCAGGCACTGGCTCTCCCTGGCACCCTGTCTGGTTCTCCCGTGGGAGTGCATGACCGCACAGTCACACCATGTCAGTAATTCTTGATATTTCGGCTTTTAGGGCACTGACGTACCCTAGTATTGTTCACAGTAGAACTTTTAAGTGGTCCAAAGCTCTCTGTTTCCTTTGTACGTCTATTTAGTTCCCGCACTTGGACGTTAGCATGTCAAAGGTCTCGATACATATGTAGGATGAGCTCCATGGTAGACACACATACATCTAAATGCATGTTCCGGAACATATATGTACTTTGGGGTGGATAAAACACACATGTGTTTTCACTACCCATCCATTCTACACACACAGCCAGCCGTTTTTTGCCACAGTGCTTCCCACACAGTCTGTCGTAGACCCATACATTATGAAAAGTGGACTGTGTTTTCTCATAGAGACAATTTCGTTATTTGAAATGGGTTGTGGATAAAGATTCTAAAGCAAAGATGTTCTACATTAACCACAAGTGGTATTAAACATATTGAATTAAAAGTACTCCCACAGCCACCAGTTGTCAGGTGGTCACCTAAAATACCAGCACGACTGTCCGTGAGCACATCAGCAGAAAAACAGCCAAGACGGCGACCAGCAATCGATTGTAAAAGACATTTCATGTATAAACACATAACTAAAAATATTAAAATTATCCTTTGAGCCCTTCAAAACTAACGTTGTTGGTGCATATGTCCCCCAAGGGGGGACACCCTAATTAATTAATACGTATATAACCCTTGACTTCCTGGAGCTTCCTGTCCGGGGCAGCGATTATTAAATCAAGCAGTAAGAGTGACGTGCTCGGAGGGGAAGTCCACGTCGCAGTGGGAGAATGTGGCAGGAACACTAGAGTCCGTCCAGTGTGGGGTGGGAGGGACTTCTAAGCCCAGCCCCACTGCGTCCATCCATGCCTGCACGCCTAGGTGGTAACCGGCCTGGGAGCCGTAGGGTGAGTGGGCTTCTTTGTGTAAAAGTGACAGAGAAAAATATACCAAGCAGCGACACAAGATGTACAAGGGCCCTGAGGCAGAAGCAGCGTGGGAACGCGAAGGGTGGCAAGAAAGCGGGTGGGACTGGGAGGGAGCGGGCAGGAGAGGGTGGTGGGGAGTCGCTGAGCAGCGGCAGGTCGGCCAGCAGGCCATTCACACCGGCCGGCGGCCGTATCTGTTAGTTCACTTTTGATCCTAATGACACAAGGAAAATTGTTTGTGGGGTTTGAACACTGTGTAAGGGTGATCGTGTTTGCGATGTGAAGGACGTACTGGAAGGGTCAACAGTCGATGCAGAGAGACCAGGAGTTGCCTGACGGTCAGTTTCCTGGGAGCACTGCTTGAAATGGGGATTTATCTGAAAGTGATTTATTCAAGGAATTCCCTTTAGAGAAACTGGTATGTGAATGAGGGCAACAGGACGGGGATGGGAAAAAGTTAAACGTTCCCAGTTTCCAGTTCAGTCCAGTCTCTGCCGGATCCTCCAGGGGGCGGTAGAGTATAAATCACAGTGCAGAGTTTGTCAGGCCCTGAGCGGAGGCAGCTGGGCTTTTGTACCCCTGCTCCCGTGAGTCACTGGCTCCAGGCAGCCCCAGGCCCTGTTTAGGCTGATGAACTGGCGATCTGCGTTCCAACCCAGAGTGCACCAGCGATCCGGTTCCTCCGTGCCCTGGCTCACGGCTGCTGGTAATTTTATTGATAAGGGCCATTCTGACAGGTGTGAAATGATACCTCACTGTGGTTTTAATTTGCATTTCTCTGGTGATTAGTGACATGGGGCATCTTTTCATATGTCTGTTGGCCATCTGGATGTCCTCTTTGGAGAAGTGTCAATTCAGGTCCTCTGCCTGGTTTTTAGAGGGATTGCTTGTGTTTTTGGTGTTGAGTGAGTTTTATTAAGTTCTTTATAAATTTTGGATATTAACCCTTTATCAGATATATCAGCGAATATGTTGTCCTGTTCATTGTCTTTTTCATTTTGTTGATGGCTTCCTCTGCTGTGCAAAAGCTCTTTAAGTTGATGTAGTCCCATTTCTTTGTTTTTTCTTATGTTTTCCTTGCCTGAGGGGATATAACTGAGAAAATATTGCCACAAACAGCATCTGAGATTTTACTGCCTATGTTTTCCTCTAGGACTTTTATGGTTTGGAGCTCAACATTGAAGTCTGTAAAATACTTTGAATTTACTCTTGTGTGTTGCATAAGAAGGCGGTCTGGTTCCATGTTTCTGCATGCATCTGTTCCATTTTCCCAGCACCACCTATTGAATCAACTGTCTTTAGCCCATTGTCGGTGCTTGCTTTCGCTGTCAAATATGAATTGAGTATAAAGGTGTAGGCGCATGGGAGAGGTAACCATACATTGATGTTTCTCTCCTTCTCTTTCTCCCCCCTTCCCCTTTTTCTAAAAATAAATTAATATTAACAAATTTTTAAACCAAAAAATCTCTTTTATTTTTGGGAGAAAATTTCAAAATAGAAAGCTCACTCACCATTTTTACGTCCTGGATCACTTTATGTCCTAAACACTTTGAGGATCTCACGTGGAAAATTATGAGTAAAAATGTCCTACAAGTCCAGTCTCCATATTGGAAACGCCATTAAAATGATGACTGTCAGATGTGAGGGCGGGGACCGAGAGCTTGTAAGCAGTTTACGTGAAGGAAGTGGATCAATCATGCCCCAGTGGTCTCTCTCTGTGCTTGTAGAGGGTTTGTCATCTGGTCTTTGTCATTAAATATAATGTAAGAAGGTACCGTTCACTGAGTACTTGTATATATGAAGCATTGTCCCAAGAGCTTCGACGATTAACTCTCCTCATGTTTATGATAAGCATATGGGGGATGTTCTGTGTTCTATCCCGTTTCACAGAGGACGAAACTGAATTGCGAGTAAAGTGACTTGCCAAGGGCACCCATCTGTTATTGACTATCTGGGATTGAACCTAGGAGTTTCAGTTTCATGACTGTTCTCCTTTAATCCACTATACTACAGTGCACCAGATGCAGCCTCTTACTGGGCAAGGGGTGTGACTGTGGAGCCATTGCCTTCTTTCTAACTCACGTAGCCACTAACTCTACCGCCTACAGGAGAAATGCAACCCGTTGTCTGAATTTCACTTGGAGAACTTGACAATCTGCGGATCAAATTTGTTTGCAGCAGGAACTGAGACAACCAGTTCCACCATGAGATATGGACTCCTGCTCCTACTGAAACATCCAGAGGTGGAAGGTACAGTGATATTGTAGCGACAAACCAAAAATTAATCCGGGCAGCCGATGAGGGTGGGAAGACACTGCTGACAGTGACTGGTTCGCTTTCTCTGGACCGCCTTGTAGAGGGGTCATGCAAAGAGCCACCTCTGCAGTGTTGCTTTTGCAGATCAGGATTCTGTCTAACAATGCTGATAAGGAGGGAACACCTTTAGGAACACAAAGGCTGTTGTTTAAGTTGACAACAGAGGAGCTTCTGAATCCCGATTCTTAGACATGAGGCGCAAGACCAAAGGGTGAGCCCTGTTAGAGGAGGGGCCCATGGGTTGCCCTGCTGGATTCTTTCCCTAGGCCTGTCAATTCCTGGCTATGCGACCTCAAAGAGGTTATTTCACCTCTCAGGCCTCTGTGTTTGCATCTTCGAAATGGACCAGATCCCCAAAGGGGGTCTTTAGCTGTGATATAATTTAACATTCAAAAATGAAATTGTCCTGGCTCGATTTCCTCAAGCACATCCTCAGAGCACAGGCCTTACAAAGGCAATGTTCACACTGCTCACCAAAATGGCTTTACCATCCCCACAAAACATGTAGGAGACTGCGTGAAGGTGACAAAGGAGATGCTCCCACTAGAGCGAGGATATTTTCCCTGCGCAGCTGGTTTGCCAGGAATCATGGGATAAGCCCTGCTCCCTGCACAAAAGTTCTGTCTCACCTGTACATGAGAACAAACCAATGAAGCCAGGAGGCCAAGAACACAGTCAACGCAGCCTTTCTGTTTCCTTCAGCAAAGTGTCTGGTATTTACAGCAAAATAGAAAATAAAAATTCCATCAAGTGCAGAGCAGTGGGCTGTTGAGCAACATCTCTTTGACCCTGGCAGCTGTCTATAGGCTGCTTTCTGTTGCACATTGCAAGCATTTCAAGTAACTTGCAGGTGTCCAGGGAACACACTGCTGGAGTAACATTCATGATCCATGTCTCTGCAGCCAAAGTTCATGAAGAAATTGACCGTGTGATCGGGCGCAACCAGAGCCCCTCCATGAAGGACAAGATGAAGATGCCCTACACAGAGGCGGTGTTGAATGAGATACAAAGATACATCACCCTCCTTCCTTTCAGTCTGCCCCATGTCGTGACCAAGGACACGAAATTCAGACAATTCGTCATCCCCAAGGTTAGATGTGTGTGGGAAAGCTGACCGGGAGAGAGGGGCAACACGGTCCCTGTGTGCGGTCTCTGAGGGGCTCCCTGTTCTGTCCGAGAGAGAGGCAGGCGAGTGTCACAGAAAGCACACGAAGTCAGAGTCAGGTGGCCGGGGCTTGCTGTGCGGTGGACCCTCAGGTCATTCTGTCACCTCGGTAGCCCTGTCTCAGCCTTCCTAGAGCTGGGGACGCTGGCCTGGGGTTTCCAGGGCACCCTGCTGCTCTCACCTAGAATGGACTAAGGGAGCCGTGATTTCCAATAACGAGAATCTAATGGGAACTGAAATCTGATTTTTCATGACGGATTCTAAAAAGGGGGAAGTGGAAAGTGTGCCTGTAGCTCTACAATGATCAAGCCCAGTGCCAAGCTTCTGGAACCCAGATTTGCCCCTGCCAGGACTTTATTCACCAGGACATTTGAGATATTGCTGCCCATTAACATTTAACACTTGCAGAATACTTAGCTTTTACCAAAACCACTCCATGCACACTGAGGATGTAGTCAGGCTTCTGTTGTGATTAGGGCCCTCGGTTTTACACCGAAATAGTCCCAGAAGATAGAGGAGGAAGCAAAGGTGTCAAACCTCATCAAAATATTTCTAAAGAGTATCAAACCCTACAAAACAAGTTACCAGTCTTCCTTAAAGATATCACTGCAGAAGTCTATTAGCGCATGGAGTCTAGCATCACATTCAAAACACTATGCCACCAACGAATGGAGATAATCAAGAATACAGGAAAATCAACACCAAGAAATCTAGTATCATAAAATTCACCATATAAATAGAGTTTTGGAGAAATCACACAATTTTCTCCGTTGTGCAGAAAATGCATTTGCTCACATTCAGTGTCCATTTTTAAGTAAAAAACTTATTTTCTAATTACAGTTGACATTCAATATTATATTAGTTTCAGGTGCACAGTATGGTGGTTAGACATTTATTTAACTCACAGAGCGATTCCCCCAATAAATCGAATACCCATCTGACGCCACGCATAGTTACTACTATGGTATTGACTATCTTCCCTATCCTGTACTTTATACACCACTGTGACTCCTCTGTAACTGCCAATTTGTACTAATTTTTAAATTTTTCAACCTTTAATAAAATAAAAATAGACGAATAACTCTTTAGCCAGAAAAACATGCTTCCCAAGTCATGCTTATCGATGAAAGGCTAAAGGCATTCCTAATATCAGGAATAAAGCAAGGCTATCTACCATTACTACTTCTTCAAGTAGCATTAGAAAAAAGTAATGAGCTACAGCATTCAAGAGAAAGAAGCAACTTTTAAATGATATAATTGTACCTGAATAATATAAGACTATTAGCTGATACACCATTGCAAAACTAGAATTCTTCAGAGTTTAGACACTAACTGATTATTAAAAAAGCATTGCCACCCATATAAAATAAAAACTATTTTGAAAACATAATGAAGATGAGTTTTCATTAATAAAAACAAGGATAAAATACTTAGGAGTAAACTGAACACAAAATTCAAGATCTGTAGAAAGAAAACTTAAAAATGTAAATGAGAGATAAAGTGTTTGAATAAAGTATAAGACTTTTTCTCTGTTTGGGTAGAAAAATAACAGTTATTCAAAAATCAATCCATACATTTATGAGATCTCAATAAAAATAACAACCAGATATTCTGGGAACTAAATAAACTAGCAGATCCCAAATTTGACATGAAGTAGTATAAAATAAAAATGGAGCTAGCTCCTGCCAAATGTTACAATATAATATAAAGTCACAGTTATTAAAGCAGTGTAAAAGAGCTTCTTGACAAGAGGGCTGAAATGAATAAAGTTGAGAAATAAACTTAATTATACATGAAAAGTTAGGACATGATTAACAGTGCCTTCCCCTAGAGGGAAAGTATGGATTCGTCAACGGAAGTTAGAGAACTCCTGCGCAGTTGGAAAACAATAATGACAGGTCCCTACCTCGCCTTCCATGGAAATTTGTTCTTGGTGGCTCAAATATGTACGCATAGAATATTAAACGGTAAAAGTACTAGGAATAAAAGCAGTAATTTCTTTGAGAATTTCAGTTTCAAAACACTTCTAAGATTGGCCCCCCTGCCCCCCCAAAACATGAAGAATAAGAGGGCCATGTATTTCAAAGTTGATCAATGTAGCTCTATGCAAATAAGCAAAATCTGCCTGGAAAGAGAAACCAAGTTTCAAAGATAAACTGAGAGGAAATTTTGCAGTAATTCATCGGAGCAAAGGACTAATTACTGAAAAATAAAATGAACTCCTACAGTCAGTGTGAACAGCCCCAAAAAGCAACAGATGCAGTTCAAAAATAAAAACCCCAAAATTAAATCGGAGTAAAAGTAATTGCACGTGCTTTTTAAATGTGGAAAAATACCCTCGCAATGAAATATGTTCAAAATAAATATCATGAAGAAAATTCTTTTACTTATCACAATATGTTGGCAGAATATAAAAAAGAACATGTAGTTTTGGTAATGCCATAAATTGGTGTAACCTCTATGAAAGGCAATGTGGCCATTTCTATCAAAATTCAAAACCTACATACAATGTAAGGTGTAGTTCCACTGCTAGGAAATGATCCTTTGTGTGCATTTTCTTCAAAATAAGAATGTTTATCGCAACAGTCTTTGTGATATTGAAGATTAGAAAATCCCCAAATGTTCATTTACAAAGGACTTTAAAAATTCCTTTATTCCTCTAAAGGAGAATACTAAGCAAGCTAGAGCACTCTATTTGTGTGAAAATAGTGGAGGATGTATGCGTGTGCCCTCTTTTTTCCAATCCATAAAATGTCTTCCAAAGAATATATCATCAAATGGTAACGGTAATTACCTGAAGAAAAGAAAACAAAAAACAGGGGACTTGAGTCGAAGAGAAACTTTTTTTCACTTTATTCCCCTTTGCACATTTTTCTGGTGTGTCCTCTTGTGTGCCTGTATTGACTACTCCAATACTTCTGAAATTATGTTTAAGGATATACAAAATAAGGTAAAAATGGAAAAAGGATGCGTGCACTTAAAGAAGGGTGCTTTATGAGCAGACGGAGCTCGGGTCAGGGTGTAAGCCTGCCACTTACCAAAGTATAACCTCAAGTAAGTAAACAATTTTTCCTCTCTGACTAGCAATGTTCTCACTTCCACAAAGCGAACAGAGAGAGAGCCTAGTGAATACAATTGAAGTGAGAATTGAGTACAGTTTATAAACAGGTAACTAAGAACAGTGTTTGATTAATGTGAAGCATCCAGTATAAATGGGAGTTAACAATATTCTTCTGTCCTTTAAACCTCACAAAAATCTTTTGTAAACTGGGAGGAAAGCCTGTGTTTTTATGAGTCCCACCCGACTTTATAAATGAAGGAAGTGAAGACTGATTCAACAGATTCAAGTTTTCATAAGTCACTTTCTTCCATTCACACCTGAATTTAGAACAGAAGCATTTGTGAAAAAGTAGGATCTTCCATTTGAGGCAGCAATTCCAGTAAAGCTCATCTCTAGGCTATGTGGGTTGCAAACCCCCATTTATCAACACCATCTGATTATTGAACATTGACCATAACTTCACTTCCCCCAAAGAGAATCATCTTATTAGTTGATAAAACAGATTGGACGGTAACGTGTGTAAGATAGCCGTAACTCGAGACAGTCACTCACCAGGCAAGCTTGCAAGCACTCAGTCCTGTTCAGTTCCTATAATTAAGAGCGTTAGCCTCGTTCACGAAGCAAGGACAGGCACAATAACGAGCACCTGCTCCCTTGTTCTTCGCTCCAGGACACCATGGTATTGCCATTATTGTCTTCAGTCCTGCACGATTGCAAGGAGTTCCCCAACCCAGAGAAGTTTGACCCAGGCCACTTTTTGGATGAAAATGGCAGCCTCAGGAAAACGAATTACTTCATACCTTTCTCCCTCGGTAAATACAAATAAACCCATTCAAACCATACACATGCTCATTCTGAACAACCTTTAGCTTCACTGCATTTGTGGTATAACTAAGTAACCCAGCGGTGATTGCAAAGGCAAGCAAGTGAAGCTCAGTTTCTGATGGAAGGGTGAGAAGCTACTTAAGTCTGTAGACAAGTAAGATAAGGTAAGTCACCCAGGGACTATTTGGTTGTGGGATGACTGAATATAATGCCACTTTTTAAAAAAAAAACTGCAGTCAGTCCATCCGATTCAAATGTCACATATTATCAGATGACAAAGGGACCTGCTTTTGCAAACTCTTATCTGTTGATTTCCCTTTGTCATATTGACTTTTCCTAAACAAATGTACCCGTTTGTATCTTCTTTTTAACTAATGAACGATTATGAACTTCTCTGATTCGTAGAGCCAGTGGCTGTCAAAGAGACCATGGCACCCTCGTGTTATTTTTTGCCCTCTGAAATCTCTTGCCTTCCAGTTATTATTGATATTTCCCATAAGGTCATAAAGACAACTAAGGGTTAGTGAGCACACATTCTCTTTTCCTTATCTTATTCAATCATTTGATAAGTATTTTACAAAATAATAGTTAAGATGGTTTACTACTCAATCCAATTACAGTCACATAGTTACATCAGAAACTGTAACAGTTTCAACCGTGTTATGAAGTGTTCAACAGAAAAGATGGAAAATGCAGAAAAGCAAAAAAAAGAGAAAGAAAGAAAAATCATCTGCTATTTCACCCTGCAGAGATAATCACTGTTAATGTTTTACTGTATATACTTCCAACAATTGTCTAAGCATACAGAATAGATGTATATTTAAAAAAAAATGTGGTTCATTCTGTACAACCTTTGATAATTTGTTTCACTTAGTTTGTGGTGGTAAAGGGCAGGCTCTGGTATTAAAACTCTTCCACAGAAGCATATTTAGGTTGCATTGTGCGATAGATGCAGAAGGCTTTATTTCGTTGATTTCTTATAGATGCGTATACAGTTTTTGATCTAACTCATCAATATCATCAATAACGATGCAAGTGGCATCCTAATAGGTGAATCTCCTATTCCTACAGCGAAATCCGCAGAAGAATTACCCAGTGAAAGAGTCAGAATGTATGGAGCGTGTTGTGATGTGTGCTGACAGGTAGCCCCGTACGGACGTATTGTCCTAGGCAACTGATACGCACTCCCTTTTCTGATCCACATTTTCAAATGGCTCTTTGAGGCATATGGTACTTGATTTGTTTATTTGTTTGCGTGTTCGTTTTGGGGATATCGTATTTGAATGAATTTTTGTATTTGAATATGAATTATTGTATTGGAATTTGGAGTGAGCTAATGGAAAACTTTCCTCCTCCCAGGTAAACGGGCCTGTCTTGGGGAGGGCCTGGCCCGCATGGAGCTGTTCCTCTTCCTCACCACTGTTCTGCAGAACTTTTCCCTGAAGCCGCTGGGGGATCCCAAGGAACTACCGACCAAGCCCCTCATTGCTGGGCTTATCAACATTCCTCCACCTTTCAAGCTGTGCCTTGTTCCTAGATAAAAGGATTTTCTGTTCCATCAGTTTAAATCGGGGTAATTGCTTCTTAGCCGTGCTGGTTAGATCAGTGGGTTAGAGTCGTCCCCATATGCCAAGGCGGCCGGTGCGATCCCCGGTGAGGGCACTTACAGGATCAACCAATTAATGCATAAATAAGCGAAACAAGAAATCACTGCTGCTCTCTCTGTCCCTTCCTCTCTCTGAAAACAAATCTTTGAAAACGGAGAAAAAGTTCAAAGTAATTGCTTTTTCCTCTTACTCCCTGCACTCCACCCAACCCCAACGGTCTTGCCCTTCATTTTAAACAGTGCATAGGACAGAATCGCTGCTCATTAAGAACCTGATGGACATTTGTTTAAATCTAAAATCCCTTGCCAAAAGGAGCTGGGTCCTGAAAATTCCAAGGGTACAAACAATCAATTCATCCCCTGTGCAGCTCCTCATACACCGCGCTTCAGGGGCACCAAGGCCCGGCCCCCGGAGGCCTTGGTCAGGACAGCCAGCAAGACAGTGGCGCTTTCACTCTTCCTGTGGCTTTGGAGATCTGATTTGCTGAAGTTTTTCAAAACAGAGAAATTAATATAATAGCCTACATGTATGATTTCTATTTCCAATTGAAAGTGCCTATAGGATTTCTGCCACATTCCTAAAATAAATGTTTACTTCCACAATTGATTGTCTGTGTATGTCTGACTTTATTTCAGATCTCAAACTCCCCCTTCCTTGAGTTATGGGTTCCCTACAGTAGGATATGAGAAATAGATGAAATTAAATGATAACCTGCTGTCAGAAATCCCTCCCTGCCCCATCCCGTGCATTTGCAAGAATGGATTTGCATGGGCCTCAAAGAGCATTCGTGGATAAGAAATCAAACCATGTCCGCAGTTAGGATTCCGACATGCACAGCGGCATCCTATTCAGAAAGAGGAGGGAGGTGTGGATGGGGGTTGAAGAGTAAGAGCAGTTGCAAGGGAAGGCTGAGCAATGCCAAGAGAACGGTGACCCAGAAAAGAGCTGCCACTACCCCGGCAGTGGCCCAGCTGTGAGCAGCAGCTGCCACAAGAGGATGGCTCAAACACCAGCGGGCAGCCCAGCCTCCCGGGAAGGCGGGCGGGAAAGGAGCTTGAAAAGTAGAGTTGAGCTTCTGCGTAAATACCCCACAGAACTGAACGCAGGGACTCAAACAGGTATTCGTATGCCCACATTCTTACAGCATTGTCCCTGAGGGCCAAAAGTTAGAAACAACCTAGCTGTCTCCTGACCGATGAGTGGATAAGCAAACTGTGTCTGTATATATAAAATGGAATATTATACAGCCTCAAAAAGGAAGGATCTATATATTCTGATGCACGCTACAATATGAATGAGCCTTGAAAACACTATATACTATGTGAAAGAAGCTGACACAACACACTACATGCTGCATGATTGCTTGATATGAAATATTCAGAATAGGCAACTTCATAGAGACAGACACTGGATTAGTGGTTGCTCAGGGCTGGAAAGAGACTATAAATGAGCACAAGGTTTGCTTGGCGGGGGGGGGGGGGGGTGATAAATGTATTCTAAAATTAGATTGCAGTGAGGGTTGCACACCTCTGTATATTCTAAAAATACTAAACTGTACCCTTAAGTAAATTTTGTAGTATGTAAATTATCTTAATGAAGCTGTCTTGATTTTTTAATTTTTTAAAATATTTTTTATTTTTTTATTTTCATCCATTTATTTTTATTTTTTATTTTTATTTTCTTAAATATATAAATGATGTTTATTCTATACAGTTGTCTCATTTTTCCCCCTTTCCCCCCTCTACCCCCTCCACTCGTCCCACCCCCACCCCCTGCTCCGACAGTCAATGCCCACTCAGTTGTCCATGTCCATGGGTCATTCATACATCCTACGTGATTTTTGTCTAGTCACTTCCTGTTCTTTCCACCGTTGTTCACTTTCCGCATCCCCTCTGGTCACTTTCAGCCTGCTCCGTGTTTCTATGCCTGTGGTTTATTTTGTTCATTAGTTTATTTTGTTGAATAGAGTCCACTTATAGGTGAGGTCCTATGCTATTTGTCTTTCATCAACGGGGCTTATTTCACTTAGCTTACTATTCTGCAGTGCCATCCATTTTGTTGCAAAACATAAGAGTTCCAGCTCTCTCTCCCTCTCTTTCTTTCTTTCTAAATACAGATTGATCTTTTTTCTTTTATTAAGGTCAAACTAAATTAAAAAATTTAAAACCATTATAAAGTCTCAGCAGTTAAAACAATATGACATTAGCACAAAAATCATCAAGTAGATCAATGAAATATAATGAGCATTCCAGAGACAAATGTATATATCTGTCTAACCATGTCATATATGATTAAGTTGATATTTCAAATCAATGGGTAAAATAAGGCTTATTCAACAAATAAGGTGCACGGACCACTATTACTTGAAATAAAACAAATATAGAGCCCTATTTCACATATTATACAAGAAATATTCAGATGAGTTAAAAATCAGTATGTAGAATCTAAGGAGTTTTAGGAGAAAATACAAACTAATATTTTCATTACCCTGAACAAAAGTATTCAACCCCAGAAGTTATAAAGTAAAATATTGAACATTTAAACATTTAACTGTATTTAAACATGTAAGACTGTACAGTAATATACATATTAAAAAGCTAAAGGGCAAGTAATAGAAGAGGAAAACATTTGCAACACATCTAAAACAGGGTTAATGGTTCTTTTAGTTTTAGGGGAAAAATTCTAAAAACATTTAATCAAAAAATGGATAAAGAATACCAAAAAGTCATTTAAATATTTTTAAAAATAAGAGAAATAAGCAAGACATATACAAAACCAGGTTTAGTTTCAAAAAATAATAAAGAAACAATTAAAATTACACATCATTCTCACAACCAGATTAATACATATTAAAAAATATTGGTAATATCAAGTATTGGCCACTGTGAAAGGAACTGGGTATTCATAGACTCTTTTTGTTCATACTAAAGCAGCCCCTTTAGCATATTTAGCAGTGCTGGTTTGGAGGAGGTGTATTCTTTTAGCCTTCTTCTGTCTGGGAAACTCCTTAGTTCACCTTCCATTTTAATTGAGAACCTTGCTGGGTAGAGGAGTCTTGGTTGCAGGCCATTCCTTTTCATGACTTGGAATATTTCATGCCATTCCCTTCTGGCTTGCAGCGTTTCTGTTGAGAAGTCAGCTGCTAGCGGTATCGGGGCTCCCTTCCATGTAACTACCTCTTTCTCCCTTGCTGCCTTTAGGATTCTCTGTTTCTCTTTGATATTTGCCATTTTAAAGATGATGTGTCTTGGGGTGGGCCTCATTGGCTTCCTCTTGAATGGGGCCCTCTGTGCTTCCTGGACTTGTGTGACTTTTGCTCTCCTCAAATTGGGGAAGTTTTCCATCATTACTTTTTCAGATAGGTTCTCTATCCCTTCCTCCTCTTCTCCTTCTGGAACCGCTATCGTATGGATATTATTACGTTTCGGGCTGTCCTGCATTTCCCTCAATGCCTCTTCATTCTTTCTGAGTCTCTTTTCATTTTCTTGCTCTTTCTGGGAGCTTGTTTCTACCTTATCCTCCAGCTCACTGACTCAATCCTCTGCTTCATCTAGCTTGCTTTCGACTCCTTCTACCGTGTTCTTCAGTTCAGTAATTGTATTCTTCATTTCCTCTTGTCTGTTACTGATAGTTTCTATGTCCTTTTTCAGGCTGATATAGTTTGCAGTAAGTTCCTCCTAGTTTCCCTGTAGGTTTTGGTAATTCTCTGTGAGCTCACTGAGCTCATTGAGCTTCCTTAGAACAGTCGTCTGATATCTGACTGTATCTGATAGTTTCCCTGCCTCTGTTTCATTTAGTTCTCTTTCTGGGGATTCCCCTTTTCCCTTGGAGCAGGGGATGTTCCTTTGTCTTCCCATTATTTGTGAGCCTCTTCTGTGTTTCTTCGGCTTCTTAAATCGATCTGTCTTGATTTCCTAACTTTGCGGTGTGACCTTCTACGGTAGGAGATAGCTGTATTTTCCTTTCTGGATCTGTCTCTGATGATAGGAGATGTGGACTCTGTCTGCCCTTAGGCAGTCTGTTCAAGACTTCCAGGAATCTGGTGTCTGTGGCTGTCTCCTTCAGCTGTTAATCTAGTTACTCTGCGCACAGCAGGCTGGCTTAGAGACACCGCAGGGTGGGGCAGAGTCCCTCCTGGTGGGAGGGTTATTGGGTGCTGTGATGCTGCTGTCGCTCAGGGTTTGTGGTCAGTCTGAGCCAGTTGGCTGCTCCCTTATCGGGGAGGAGTCAGCACCTGGGTCCCCCAGGCTATTGACTCTGTTCTCTCCCCAAAGCCTCCACCTCCAGTCTCTCGTCAAGCGTCTCTAGACCACTCTGAGCCCCCTTTAACCAGGGATCTGCCATCTGTGGCTGCCATTCTGTACTTAGCCGTCAGGCCTTAGCACTACCAACCAGGGCGGAATCCATCCTGGAGGCTGGGCTATTTTGCCCTCTGATGCTGTTGCTATTTAGAGGAGCGGTCTGCTGAGCAAGATGCCTGCTGCCATATGAGGGATGAGTCAGCACCGGGATCCTGCCCGCTTGTCTCTCCATTCTCTCCCCAAAGCCTCCGTCTCCAGTTTCTCCTCAAGTGTCCTTAGCCCACTCTGCTCCCGACTTTGCTGGAGACCAGGGTGAGTAGCTGCAAAAAAATGTAAGCGTTGGCCCTTTAAATGGCTCTTTGCATTTCCAGCCACCTGTCTCTGGGAGAGAACAACTCTGCTGCTTTTCGCAGCGCTGTTATCTGTGTACTTTTTGGCCTCTGCGGCTATAGGCTGGAGATCCCTGCTTATGGTTTAGCCCCCGCTCCCCTCATGGGGATCCAACTGGCCCTTTCACTATCCTTCTGGTGCTGCTGCCCGTGGGCACCCCGCCCACATTCTCGAGTCTCTATTGCACTTCTTACCAGTTACATTGTGCTAAAGCCGATGCTTCTGTCTGTCCAAGGTTACAAGGCTCCTCTCTCGCCACTGTTCAGTTGTTTGTTCCCGGTGTTTACTCCACAATTTAGTTGTAATTCCAGGTTGGTCCTGGGAAGAGGTCGATGTGACTTCCACTCACTTCTCCTTTCTCTTGATTCCCCCTCTTTATATTTCACCTTTGGCATTTTAGTTGTAGTGTGTCTTGGAATTGGCCTCTTTGAATCCACCTCGTTTGGGACTCTCCATGCTTCCTGGACTTGCATATCTCTTTCCTTCACTAGATTAGGGAAGTTTTCTTTCGTTATTTTTTTCTAACAGATTTCCAACTTCTTGCTCTTTCTCTTCTCCTTCTGTCACGCCTATCATGTGAATGCTGGAGTGCTTGAAGTTGTCCCAGAGGCTGCTTACACTGTCCTCATTTTATTTGTGTTCTTTTTTCTTCTTGTTGTTTTGATTAGTTGTTTTTTCTTTCTTTATGTTCTAAATCATTGATTTTTTTCTCGGCTTCATCCACTCTATTGCTGTTTCCCTGTCAATTGTTTTTTATTACAATTAGTGTAGCCTTCACTTCCAGCTGGATCTTTTTCACGCTCTCGAGGTCCTCATTCAGTTCTTTGAACGTCCTTTTAACCAGCGCTTTGAACTCTGCATCTGAGAGATTGCTTATCTCCATTTTGTTTAGTTTTCTCTGGAGT